ATATTAGGAATGCACCGAGGTTCGGTCTCGGCTCCGGCCAAAATCCGGCTTTTTTTCAAATCTGGCCCCGGCCGGATTTAAGCGTCCATCAACATTTATAAATGTTATAAATAGAAAAAAATTTTTTATTGAATTCAATTAATTTTATGTCATACATGACTCATAATAACAGCATCACTAATTTTGAGGTGAGATGAGGTTATTCATAATTTTTCTTTTAAATTAATTCGTTTATTTTATTTTCAACAATATAATGAGTTAATTTTAGAATATAGGTTGTTATTCATTTATTTATTCATTTTAATATCTAATATTCTATTTCTTATAATTTATATTATTAACTCCTCATTTGGTTTTATAATCTAGGCTCCGACGATGGCATTAGCCGAAACGGCCGTCAGCCAAACTTCACAGTTTAATAAAGTTGAAACAAAACCAGTTCGCGTTGTTGGAATTTAAAAAAATTCTTACTACAAAATGGGGTGTAATCTTCAACCGTACATGTTTTTTCTAAGACCTCATACCAAATTATATATATATATATAAACCGCAATTGTTAATCAACCTGAGACCAAACACACAGACCATGTACCACTAGGGTGGTTACAACGCTATATGTAGAAAAAAAATTTTCGAATCTTAATGGGGGGAACCCCCTAATTGTGCCACTTGACTAAAAAATGACATTTGTAAAGTTTCAGCTCAATTGGATAAAGCCTACCCGTGCCTCATCGAGGTTGAAATTTCGAAAAATTGGAAAATTTTTGAAAAAACGGAGTTTTTGGTTTGTAAAATAAAAACGGTTCACTCTAAAAACATGATTTAGGTTTTATTTAGTTCATTGATTAGTTTTCTTCAAATGTTACTATGATCACTATTTAGCTACAAGTTGTAGTTTCTGACATTTGCATTGTTACAGATACACATTGAAAAAACGTTGAATTTCTCCATAACACAAAAACACACAATAACTTAATTTGTTTATAAAGAAATGTTTTTAAAATAACACCGTTGTATTTAAATCCCTATTGTTATTAAATAAACACATTTTTTATTCATATTATATTGTTTATAGTTGTTATACATCAAATAAATTTCTACTTTAACTCATTGTTCAAAAGGTAGAGGCTCGGATAAGGAGGCTTTTAAGCAACCAGGAAATTTTGTGCGACATTCAGCAATTACTTGCAAAAGATATTGTTTTTGATCTTCTTCTTTTGTAATACATGAGTTGTAATCTGTTATTAATTTAACACCCCTTTCTGCTGTATCATTTGTAACTTTTAATCCGTTCACAATCTTTTTACTCTTTAAATATTCTTCGTTATTACTCCATAATTCTGGATTGGTATGCAAAAATTGATCGTTAATATTAAATCTTTTTAATAAATTACTTGATTGTGATGAAATAAAATGGTCCGCATTTTTGTCCAATATAGATATATACTTCATTTATTTTTTATTAGTGGTTTCATATCACAGTAGTCATCAAGTTCTTCATCCACACACATACACATTTTCCATAGGGCCCATATAGATGGGTCCATGATAGACTCCTGAGTCTACTACAAAAAAGCACATCGATCAGCTAATAATCAATTTAGCATTTGATTAAATCAGGATCTGACAGACGCAGAAACAACATGCAAGGCAGAGATATCATAACAGATTAGCTGTTCAAAATATCAGCTCGATGCATATGAAATCAATATTAAATAATTAATTTAAATGAACATTCAAATCCCAGTCACATAGGAAGGAATAATTGGTAATGGAAATAATGACACTTTATAGTAAAAGTTCATCAGGACTCCCTAACGGACTACTGGATTTGAACATTACAATATATCTTGTGCCACTATAGCAAATCAACTGGGACTAAACAAAAACAACTATTGAACTAAATGTTGAAAAAAAGTATATACATTGAAAAAAAATTATTGAATCATGACTGAAAAAGCCGATCTCACCCACAACAAAACCATCATGAAGAGAATTTACTATATAACATTGTTATAACCGCCGGAATGATCGAGTTGCGCTCTATAATTTTATATAATTTTCTTGATTATTTGTTATCTTTGTAAAACTGTATATGAGTATTTGCCATCGATTGTAAAACTGTATATGAGTGAAGAGATGTGCTTTGAAAAAGCGGTGAGGTTAATAGCGGAGTTAGTTGCGCGGTTTGAGATGTTAATGGTCGAGTTTAGCTATGTTTAGCTCGTGCGAATTTTTTGATTTGGCACTGTTTCTATTAATGTTGGCATTCGAATAAACGTTTAAACAAGTGCACGTTTAAAGCAGTTGTGTTTATTGGCAATCTTGAACCTACGGAATATCGATAATTTGATCATAGTACAACATTGGTGTCGAAAATAGAGATCTTTGAAGTTACGACACTAATTTCTGTGGTCGAATATATATTTAAACAATATATTTAAATTCATACAACAAAAGAATGATGTTATCACTGCTCCATAGTTCAACTGACATTTTAAATTTCAGTGTGTAATTTTAAATTTTAATCTTAAGGAGTTAAATTATTATGACAATATATAAAGTTCAAAGAAGGATATTTTAAAGTGGATGTGGATTTGATAGTTGTGCTAGGGTGTCGGGAATGGCAAGTGCAGAGAACCCTGGCAGATTGTCTGGCTTTGTTGATGAATGGCTTTCCCTCTGGACTATTCATCTGCATAAATAGTAATACGTACTGACATGATTACAAAAATCAGCAATATCTTTAGTGCTTTATAGTTTCCTCAAAAGTTCGTCAAGAATCTCCTGCGGCCAAACAACATGGTAAAGTGGAAATAATTGTTTCCTCGAAGGTGTGTTGAGTACCAACTGTAGTCAAATGAAATGTTTGGTAAACGGGCTGGTTCCTCTGCCTTAAATTTTTGTCCGCACTGTTACGTATAAATTTGTTATCCGACAGCTCAGATAACTTTAGTTTAAACTGTTAATATGACTGTATTATCTTTTCGTTCCGTCGTCGGCTCCTCAGATTCAGCATTAGTGATTCGAAAAAACTTGATAGAAATTTTCCATTCGATGCAGATGATTTTCCGGATACACCACTTCTAATACAAAAATTTAATCATTCATATACAAATAAGACACATCAGTTAGAGCATCATTTTAAGAGCGGCAAACAAAGCCATGAAATACAAAAAATAAAATCTGCATTCTTGATTTATATCAAATTTTTAATACAGTTACTAAAGATAACCATTGCAAAATTCAAATAATTACACCAAAAAGCTTTTAAATTCGTTTTATACTTGGAATTTCTAAAAATTGGAAAATTTTCACCGTTAAAAAATGAGTCAAAACTTTTACACAAGTCCGACACCCTGGTCTTTATTAATATTGCTTACTGCGACTAACTTCCCTATACATTCAAAGCCGGATTAAGGCTCTGTTGGCCGTAAGGCACATTTTTTAAGCCTTGACAATGACATTAATCTAGATAAGGTTTAACGTCAACTAATAGCAGAGTATTAATATTGAGAAGTTGTAACTTAATAAGCTTAGAATGTAACTGATTCATGAGAATTCTAAAGTTTTATAAATCTGAAATATAAATAATTACATAAATATAATAATTTTAATAACATATCAAATGAAAAATTTAAATTTTAAATCAGATTTAAATTTAAACCTCCCTGGTAATTTCAGACTGTTAATATGCCTAACTTATAAATAATAATTATACTGTAAACACTGAAATGAATTGAGAGTAATTTATTTAAAGTTAAATTTGCGAACGCTTATTGTACTTGAGATTTGATGGATATTTTGATTGGCTGGATATATATTATATATTATAGTTCTAATCTAAGGTCAACTTAAAGTAGCAGAGATTCCTAAATAATAAAATACTTCAGTCCTAAATAAAAAAATATACTGTGGTAGGATAACTGCGGATTTAAAAGTATGTGTAAATAAACGTGTTTGCTGTCAACTATATTTATAATAACACTGACGAGAAAATGCCTCTATTTTTTGCCCTTCCCTAAGTCTACCTTTTGTGGCCCTGTCTACTTTTTGTGGCCCTAGTTTACTTTTTGCTTGTTTGCATTATAAAAACATTGGATGAAGTCGGATAAAAAATTTCGACTTTAAATGATTTCTTGCCATGAGTCATCAAAACTTTCTTTCCACGGAACATAAAAATTTTAAACTTGACTTCGTCTTGTTTTCAAACCATATTAGTCATTGTATTTTTTTACTGTTTGACATTTCTTGAAAACAAGATTTTTTTTTATAAACACACGTATAATGAGTGACTCCACATGTTAGCAATTTTTAATATTTCATTTATGTGGATAGACGTTAATATCTGCTAATTTAAAAATAGTTGAAATAGTTAAAAGTCACAGCAATCAGATGGTCCAGGCTGTGAGAGGACGATGTATTTTAATCATTGGTTTCCTCGTTTAAAATTGTTTTGCATATGCGTTCATTGTTTACATGTGAACATGTAAGTACACGTAAACAAATAAATGCACAATGTGGATGTACATCATGCGCATATAAAAATATATGTACATAGATCAAAATTTAGGCGACAAAACTTGGCCCAAATCGGATTTCTTTAAAAATTCTCATTGATTTGTTCAAATTTTGAGGTCTGGGTCTTGTTTTTGATTAGAATTTTTTGTCCTCGGATGTCTCAAGACATGCTCTTTGAAAGACTCGGTCTTGTTTTGATCTCGGAAATGGTTAGGGTGTTAGAAATAGGAAATGGAACTGGCGGCAAAAATGTATCTAAACGTAAAAACATTTATTTATAAATTATAAATAAATATAAAACGGTAATAAATTTTATATATATTTTAAATATATTATCACGAAAAAATGAACAAGAACGTTATATCTTTTTCTGTTAAAAAAATGTTCAAACGTATTTATATTCATCAACAGAAAGATAAAAAAGTATATTATCAAGTCTTCTATTCACTGCTACCAGATGATGATTGAAATAAATATGTTTAAACGTATTTATATTCATCAACAGAAAGATAAAAAAGTATATTATCAAGTCTTCTATTCACTGCTACCAGATGATGATTTGTTAAAATGGGAGCCAATGGATCAGATGCCAACACAGCTTTTAGAATTCTGGTAAGTGTTCCCTGTTTCAGTATAGCAAGACGTTCTGCAGTTGTTTTTCTAATTCTAAAATTTATTGACAAAACAAAAATTATTTCAGACATTAATCATTTTTTATAATTTAAACTTATTGGGGACGGGACTTTGATTGGCTATGTAACAGTCTAAGCTTTGAATCTACGAGTCCTCTTTTGTCTTTTTCTAAACTTAACTTACTTTATCTTTCTTTGTTTCTATTTCTTTTACAGATTTTATAAAAATTACACGAAAAAACAAGTTGTATATATGTCATTGATTGTTTCTAAGCAAATTTTGAAATTTTGAAACTGTTAAATTGTTGAAATTGTTAAATTGTTGAAATATTGTCAAATTTATATATTTAGGTTGCTTGAAGAAAAGTGGGCTAATAGATGATCATTTTATTCAAAATCTTATATGTTGTTATGTATGTATACTTATAACCCCTATTTATAACCACCTATATGTTTAATATATATATATATATATATATAATATATGTATATCAGTTTATTAGTAATATGTAAGAATTTTGTATTATCATTTTTAAAGATGATTGCAGATTTGATGACGTCAGATTTTATGATCCATGTTAATTCCGCGTGCTGATAAATTAGTTAATTTTAATATACAACTTGGATTAGATATTCTGGTGATTTTTTTTGGTAACAAATATGGCAAAGTGTAAATTTATCTGATCCATTTTGCTATGTTTGCGGCCTTGTGACAGACAAATTCCATCGGAAAATTTTCACGCCATTATAAAAAAAGCATACGAATTGTATTTCGATTCAAAGGTAGATTGTGGTAAGTCTTGGGCACCAAAGTACATTTGTTTGACGTGTTCATGCTGCCTGCATGGCTGGATCAGGAATGTAAAAAAAAAAACAATCGCATGGCATTTGGATTCCTATGATATGGCGTGAAGAGATAGTTATTTCGTTAGTGGAATTAATTACAAAACTCCAGACGTTTCGATTGTTTCAAAACTAATTCCACATGATCCTGCAACTTGTCCAATATTGAATTCTTTATCTGATGCTCATACTTTTTCATTATTTAGAGCTGGTCTTTAAACTATTAAATTATTATTACAACTATTAAATTGCTACCTACCTCTCAATCTATCAAATTTCCTAAATATCACTATCATTATTCCTATTCCGAGATGTCAATATCATTATTTCCTAAATATCACATTCACACTATCTGTTAAACACTTGAAACTAAATAAGCTAAATTTAAATTTCCTTTCGCTTACTTCCGATTTTATTGAATTCTTTATCTGCTGCTCATACTTTTTCATTATTTAGAGCTGGTCTTTAAACTATTAAACTATTATTACAACTATTACATTGCTACCCCTCAAACATAGTCTTTTAGCTCAATCTATCAAATTTTTTAAATATCACTATCACTATTCCTATTTCCTAATTTCCGAGATATCAATATCATTATTTCCTAAATATCACATTCACACTATCTGTTAAACACTCAAAACTAAATAAGCTAAATTTTCTTTCGCTTATTTCGCTCCGATTTTATTGAATTTTATTGAAACTGCTCATACTTTTTCATCATTTAGGGCTGGTAATTAAACGCTAGTTTAGGTTGCCTACCATTCAAGTGTTTTCAATAGTTTTTAATTTTTATGTACGTCTTTTTTATTTATTTTATCGTATTTTTTTTGTTTTATTTTGTTTATCTGCACTTCATAATAGTCTATATTGCGAATTTTGGGTTGAGCCCAACTGAATTTTTAGAAACTGGGTTATACAAATTTGATTGATTGATTACAGTACTGCAAGAACTGTTTTTCTAAACTTCATAATCGTTTGTTTTGCAAATTCTGGGTTTATCTGAATTTTTAGTATAATCTAGACGAGAAAATACAAATGAAACTAATAACAACAAAAAACATACGCTGGCAATATGTTTTAAAATAAACTAAAGTTATTTATGCCGTACAAAACAGGATTGAGTAAGACATAAAGAATGTGCCTAAAAGTCAAACAAAAAACCCATAATTTTTTATAACCAAAGCTACCTTACACTAGGAGAGTCAAATTGTTTTATCGAGTAGAGTAAAAATAAATCTGTGATACGTCCGGTGATGTTATATGGTGCAGAAACATAGCCAATGACAACCAAACTGGAACAACAACTTCAACGAACCGACATGAAAATGCTCCGATGGATGCAACGAATTAGTCTGAATGACCACATCAAATCTCCCAAAATCCTGCGTCGTGCTGGTTTAGCTGATACAAAGGACGAATGCCGGCAACACCGTGTGTGGTGGTTTGGTCATGTCAAACGAAGTGGAACGAATTTCTCTTGCAGATTTTGAAGTACCTGGCACACGTCCCAAAGGCCGCCCAAAGAAGTCTTGGTCGCAAACAATCGAGCAAGACATGAAAGCACTAAATTTAAATGAAATGGATACAACTGATCGTCAAATTTGGTGCTAAAAGTTGATGGCAAAGGAAACAACGTCCTACCTCGGGGAACCGGGTCTCTGGACGCAAAACGAAGATTGATTGATTGATTGATTGTAGAGTAAGCGTTTAGATTGGAGCCAATTGTTACAACAGAAGTGGTTCAGATAGAAGCCATTAATTTTTCACTTTAAATTTTAATTTCAACTTTTTTAAAAAGTTGAAAATGACAACCAAACTGGAACAACAACTTCAACGAACCGACATTAAATTGCTCCGATGGATGCAACGAATTAGTCTGAAGGACCACATCAAATCTACCAAAATCCTGCGTCGTGCTGGTTTAGATGATACAAAGGACGAATGCCGGCAACACCGTGTGTGATGGTTTGGTCATGTCAAACGAAGTGGAACGAACTTCTCTTGCAGATTTTGAAGTACCTGGCACACGTCCCAAAGGCCGCCCAAAGAAGTCCTGGTCGCAAACAATCGAGCAAGACATGAAAGCACTAAATTTAAATGAAATGGATACAACTGATCGTTCAACTTTTTTAAAAAGGCCGCCCAAAGAAGTCCTGGTCGCAAACAATGGAGCAAGACATGAAAGCACTAAATTTAAATGAAATGGATACAACTGATCGTTCAACTTTTTTAAAAAGTTGAAATTGCAAGATTTTTAAAAGCAGCTACAAACTATCAACTGTATTGAATGCTTCTCTTAAGGCAATAGCAAGCAGCACCACTATTAACCATCAAAAACCATCAAGTATTTATAAAAATAAATTAATTTAAAAAAAATTAATAAAGCTTACATTTTACATTGGAGCAAAGGAGCAAGAATACTTTCTTCGTCAAAATTAGGATTCCCAAAACTTGAAAAATGGTCCATATAATTTAGTCATATAAATTCTTAAGTAATTTAAAATTAAAAATAATTTGTGACAAGAACTTAATCAATAATTTAAATTTACTATTAACTTTAAAAAATCCAAAAAATTTGTAACAATTCTAATAGTTATTATAATACAAAGTTACATGTTAAAAAGAATTAAATTAGTAATAAATATTACCTTTTGGCATTATCCAATAATATCAACATAGAATTATTATCACCATAAAAACGTTCATAATGGTGGCGATCCGCATTGCCAATTATGTAATCAAATAAACACGTGTCAATGATGTCTAGCAATAACGGACCTGTTGATAAAAATCGATAAAAATATTTATTGTTATATACTTCAACGACTGATACCAGTTTTGTAGCTTGCATTATCGTCAAGTTATCAATATTCCGTAGGTTCAAGATTTTTGTTAGATAGATCTACCAGAATTGAGCCCACAGGAATGGAAACACTAAATAATTCACTTATTCAAGAAATATGCACGATCGATCGACCAATCAGATTTTAACTATGTCACAAATCTCGCTATTAACCTTGTTTATATACAGTTTTACAATCGATGACAAATATATCAAAGATAAAGAAAATTCAAGATAATAATAATAAAGAGATAAATAAGAGTAATCAAGCGATTAAAATTATGTATTTAAGTTAATAATTGCTATAAATAAATTAAAAGATCCAGAAGTTGGCATAAAGCCAGCCTCGGAGTTGGCATCGCATTTTGCCATTTCTCTTATAGAACCTTCAGTGGTCACACATGTGAGTCTATTCCCCATTAAGGAGTGTCAAATTTTAAAAGTTTTTTGGAAAAAACCAGGGCATGGCAAAAAAAGCTTTTTGATGTCCTGTTTCCGTTGGTGCATTCATTCAAAATTTTTTCAATTTTGAATGAATGCACTTTAAGCTTGGTAAATTTTGAATGAAAGTTTTACAAATATACTAGTTCTTTTTTGGTATAATTTTTTTGTCCTTCTCGCTCAACTGCCTTAGCAGAATACCGTATTTTAATAAATCTCTCACAGTTGGTAACTCTGAAATAAGGATCTCCCTGCCAGACCCCACATAATGACTAAGATGAGTGGAGGTCTTGTTTTTTATGTTTTTCAGATATTGCAATAAATTAAAGAACTACTATCATTGTTATTTTGATTCTGATTATGGCTGCATCAATTAACCAGAGGAAAGACCTCCACTCATCTTAGTCATTATGTAAGGTCTAGCAGGGAAATCCTTACTTCAGAGTTACCAACTGTGTGAGATTTATTAAGATACGGTATTCTGCTAAGGCAGTTGAGCGAGAAGGACAAAAAATTATACCAAAAAAGAACTAGCCAAAGATATTATGACTGCCCTCTTTTATCAGTGGACCAAAGCAAATTCTAAGTTTAAATATCCTGTTGTTATTCATGAAGTAACAATCCAGGAAAGAATCGTTAATTTGTGGAATAAAGCTACTGATGTTGTCTGTCACTTGGCAGAAATCTTGTTTGGTTGATATGTGATCTTCACACAAATGAATTACCACAGAGACATCTTATTCAAAAATTGGATGGTCAAATACTGAGCAATAATCGATTGTCAGGACCAATTGGTAAGATGCTTGATGATGCAATAGACCTGGAAATAAATCCAAATTTTATCAGGACCTCCTCCATTGATTGAGTTAAAACAGAGTGTGATTGATGACCTCAGCACAGACCGGTATTATGGATACATGATTGTTAATGCTATCAGATCTGGTGTTGTGCCTGACAGGCTTACGAACTTACAGATTGGACCTGTCTGTCACTCAAGATGGTTGACTACAGCTCTAAGATGTTGCAGATTATGAGTTTCCAATCATGGTCTGAAAGATATGCCACTTAGAAATTTGAAATTGATTGTCGAATTTATAGTCGGAGTTTATATGCCTAATTGGTTTAACATCAAAGTAAAGCATAGTTGGATTGATTGATTGTTCTTTTTCAGCTTGAGCTTTTCAGAAGCCAAGACAAAGAGGTGATGCAGATAGTGATGCCTGTGGTAAGAAGATCAGCCTGGTATGCACATTTTGAAGCTGTCATCCAGACACTGATTTGTAGTGACAAGGGAGAAGAAAGAAAAGTTGGAATTGAAAAGATTCTTGAGATCAGAGGAAATGCAGATGAGAATGTTCAGATGGGGGATATGAGTTTAAAACAAAGGGTAACACCAGAGATCAATCCTGATGCCAGCAGCCTACTTGAACTCATTCATTGGGGTTCTGAAATGTATGAATCTTCTCTAACTTGTTTCTTAGCAACGGCTCAAGTCAATTTTTTCACACTGCAATGATAGTCCCAGACTGGCCCTCACACATTTAAAGTATTAAGAGATGTGTCAAGATGGTTACAGAGGCAAGTGAACATGTCTACAGTCAGGAAAGAAGGAATGGATATATTAGATCACAGATCGTCAGCAGGCAACTAATGAGTAGAAATGCGAGCAAGAAGGACATGTACAATCTTGTAAAGTTTGGAAATAATTGACACTTGCTGTAAGCTGTGAAACTGTCTACTTTGTAATTGACATAGCATTGATTAGATATTGTATATAATGCTAATACTATTTCAGTATTTAATAAAAATATAAAATTTGTCGTTGATTAAAATTAATTTTTTAATTTTTAATTAATTTTTTCGACGATTTTTGTAATTAATTCCTAAATTACGAAAATAAACATTTTAACTGAAATTTCAACATAAAATTTACCAAGCTTGAAATTTTCAAATCTAAAATCTGAAGGTTAATTTGGATTCAGCATACAAAAATGTATCTTTTTGTAACCCCTGGTTTATAAAAATCTAAAAAAATCAATTTTCGGTATAAAATTGACACACCCTATTCCCCATGTACATAACGTTAATCTTGAAGAAGTACTGGGCCGGAAACGCTGTTTGCTCTTGAACAGTGGAAGGCAACCCGATGCATATCTCAAAGTGTTATGACATAATCCGGATGTGGCATGTGATTATGCTGAAAAACATGCAGACAAGGAACAACGACTATATGTAAACAAGCATGAGCCAGTGTTTTGCGAAGGTTATCGTTGGATTTTTCATTTAGATATTTCTCCATTGTTTTTGCCAAATTTTTGTTCAAGATCTCTATAATCTTTTCTAAGTTTTCGTTTGATTTTTCCATAACTTTATAATTGCATTTTAACTAATTATCATTCGACTTCAAAATTTTCAGTTGATTTATTTTTTAGACATGACGGAAAAGCAGAAGTTAGGAACTTTGAAATTAAGTAACTTTTTTAATTAAATTATAAAGTTTGAACATGAACAACTTATTTGCGGTAAAAATTAATGATTTTAAGATAAAATAAATATAATTTATCAATTTATAAAACACATGACATACGAGAAGCTAGCAAAGATCCTGATATAGATAAATTTACAAGGCCAGAAAATAATTAAAAATATAAAAATTAGTTACTTCTTATACAAAAAGATTTTCACATAAAAATAAATATTGACATCAATTTATATAAATTAAATTTTCCAAAAAGAAAATGTTTAAAAAAAAATATCCTGCCTAAATTTACTGATTTGTATATAACTCGCCACTTGCTCTTCGTTTCTCAAAATTAAAAAGTTTTTTAAGCTCTTGTTCGAAAAATAAAAAATATAAGTTGCAAAAGACCGAAAATTCTGTTTAGAAATGACGAATTCAAGCAAATTAGTGCCGAAAATTTATTAGAAGTTATAGAATTTTACTAAATTTATTAGAATTTATATAATTCTACTGAATTTATTAGTAGTCTTCTTTTTAAATACGCAACACACATTCACACAAATCGAAAACAAAGGGTTCAATTACATACAAATTTTCAGCTTTTCCAATTTTTATTTGTTTAATTTTAATTATTTTTGGTTAGTGTTTTCAGGCGAGTTTCTTTGACTTTTATAAAAAAAACCATATATTTTGTTTTTGAGAAATTGATGTTAATTTTATTTAAAACTTTCTTTTTGTAACTTACTTTTATAACATATTTCTGTCCCCAGTGCAGTCATCTTCATGCATAAACAATTTAAAAGAGTCTTTACAAATATTCACAGTATCATTTATGAATGAAATAAAAAAGAGGGCTATAATAATCTCCTGGAAGGTTTCACGCGCTGACACTAACTCAAAGTGAACCCCTTCAAAGAGGACAAATTCCGATCTACCCTCCAAATATGAACTAATCAAAGAGGATATTTTCTCGAAAACGATAGATGAGGAGTTTTAACAGTAGGATATCATGGTGGACTAAATCAAATGCTTTTGAAAAATCAAAATAAACTACTATTGAATGATTCAAATTATTATGGTTTGAAATTTTAGGAATTGATAAATTTTTTCTATTTTTTATTATGTCCATCTATCTAAAAAAGTATCAAACAACCAAAACAGATTTTTTCAAACAATATTGTAAAAGACAAAACCACACTGATTGTTCTTAATTTGAAATGTCATTCCATTCACGATTTAGCAGTTTTCAAACAGGTTGAAAATTTCTATCCTTATTCTAATTTTAATTTAAATTGATAATGAATTGATAAAATTTTTTCTAATTAATTTCATCAGCTTTTACGGATAATGATAACACTCCAGTGAAGGATGATTAAATCTGATTAATCAATCTCACAACAAAATGTGGTAATTTCGAACCATTTATTAACAAAAAGCCAAAACTCGGGAACACCAAAAATAAATGAAAATTGTTTTTTCTAAAGAGTTCAGGTTAATTCTTTGAAATAGCAATGTCCAGAGTAAGAAAATAAATACTAACCTAGTCTTTTCGAGTGGTATAGTATATTAGACAAAAATTAGATAGTTAACTGGTAAGCAAAAACTTTTACTAGAACTAATACAATATTACTATAGAGATATTACATACAATAACCTGTTTTATATCTAGGCACATCTTTAATTATGTTACAGATATTACATAAAATAACCTGTTTTATATCTAGGCACATCTTTAATTATGTTACAGTAATTTACTTCATTGTTTTGAGCTTCCCATCTTGAAAATAAAACACAATCTTACACACATAAATGTTATATATATATATATACACAATATTACACACATTAATGTTATATATATATATATATATATATATATATATATCTACATGTAAATATATCTCTCATGTAACATATGTAATACATGCAATATATATCTACAATGTAATTGTTTTTTAAGTATGTTTAAAGGCGTATGGTTAGAATTATAGATAGTGTTTAATATGGTTTCAATGGTATCTTTGACGGGAACATTAGTAAATAATGATTCCACGTCGAGTGAAGCAATAGTAAAAAGTCACGCTATAAGCAAGGAATAGAAATTTGAAGAACACTTAAACATAGATGATCATATGAAATATAATTCACATCTCCCTGCTTTTGAGGTACATAAAGTGACAATTTGTCTACTTCGAAAATCGACGTTGACATCTTTCTAACTCTTTTTTTTGTCCATTTTACTTCGATTTTACTCCTAATATCCAGACATAGACCTGATCGCCTAGTTTAAGTTCGATTTTTGTCAACTCTTGTTTATTTCAAAATTTTAAATAGAATTCTTACAGGCCTGTATTCTATCTGCAACTAAATCGCCGTCTGGTAAGTCATAGTTGACTTTATGTTGACTATGTTGACTTTATGCCATAGTTGACTTTATGCCATATAATAAGTATTCCGGTTTGAATTTTGTGGAATTATGTACGATTCTTTGACATATTCATCTGCAAGTGTTTTGTTATTCATTTAGTCCATTTGATTGGTTGGGGGCAATCTACAAATGTAAAAACCACTTGAATGTTCATCTTGTTAAGATACAGCTTGAGTTCTGTTGAATTAATTTCAGTGTACTGGTCGGCTAAAAGTATTTTAATATTATTTAACTTTGTTAAATCTCCTGCACATTGACTTTTTATAGTGGAGATCCAAGCATATCTACAATAAAATGGCCCAATAAAATAGGCACATAATTTCTTTGGTACTGAAATTTCTGTCAACATTTTTATGTATCTGATTATGTTGATAGAGTCGCTTTTTCTTGACTTCAATATTGTACTTTGGTATCTTTGTTTTGACTGTAGTTTCATTATCTAAAAATTTATTTTCATATTTCGGCTTGATGTTAGAGACGCGTTCATCAATTTTTGTTAATTCTGTAAACAATTTCTCAATGGTCGTTAATTCTTCACTCTCAAGCTGGTTTTGTATTTCTACGGGAAGGCCCATAACAAATATGTTCTCGAGATTATAGTAGCATTCATTTCAATTTCTAAGCATAGATTTTCCTTTCCTAAATATTTGAAATTATATGCGGTCCTTATTTTTTCCAGATTTATCTGTAAGAATTGTCAGATTCACCATTCCGGCCATTAGTTAATCCGATCATTTTTAAATTTTTGTACCAATGCTCTAATGAACCAGATAAGAAGCGTAATGCCTTTAGAACGGATATTAGTAGGATTTAGCATTTTATGCCTTCGACATTCATTTTCAAATCTCTCTATCCAATCAGGTATTTTGCTTTTTGTTGAATTTTTTCAAAAGAAATTTTTTTCTAACTTTTGCACCTTAACATTATCATTTAGATTTAGTTTAATTTCTTAGTTTTTTTATCTCGAAAATTTATTTCACTAAATCTATCTCCATCATTAATTTTTTCTTCTTAAAAACAGAGATTATCATCTTCATCATATTCCTTTATCATTTCCATCGGGTTTGACGCAAATTTATAACTTAGATAACTTAGAAAGTTTTACGATAGTTTTAATCGCATCAATCGTATTGATTATTGTTTGCTTGGTATATAGAATTTCTTGCAAACATAAGTCTTTATATTCTTTATTATCTGATATGCCCGCTAATTCAAATTCAGATCTTTTTTAATGATATGAAATATAACTTGTTTTTGAAGCCATCTTCAAAAACTTATAAACTTATTAACTTATAAAGTTCGCTTTCAACAACATGATTCATTTATCTAAAAAAATTCAAATAAATGAATATGTTGGTAATAGACCATAATTTTTACAATATTCTATAAATTCTGCCGAATGTTTGGCGTTAATATGTTTGTAGTTCGTTTATTCGACAAGTCTTGAACTACCTTCTTTTTAACTTCTAATTCTCGAGAGAGATGGAGCGACTATATATATGAATATCTCGAGAGAGATATATTCATATATATATATTGTTATAATACTCGCTGTCGTAACCGATTTACGATGCGACGGGTTCAAATCCTCGATTGAATAAAATATTCCAAACAGTTATTAAACTTTATTTACAGAAGAAATCAACTAATCGTTTATTTACAGTAAATTCAAACTAACGCAACAATTAACTTTTAAATCGTTCAAAATCGATCGCTATGACAACGTCAACAAACAAATCAAATATCGCTATAAATAATTCACCGAATCGCTATTCACAAAATCACGGATTTCACTAATCACGAATATCACTAATCTTCCTGCGACATGCGCTTATATACTCTTCGCAACCGTCGTTTCTAGATTCTTCCAGCATACTCTAGAATGTTCCAGTCACTAGGACATTCTAGAATACGCTAGAATCTAGTGCGTTCGGTAGCCCCCTTCTTAGTTCTGTTCGTCCCGAACAGCTTTCGTTCCGGTGTCGGCATGGTACGGAGCCAGTCTATCCAAATGAACGATCTTCATTCTTGCTCTCGGCTTCCGATATTCCTGAATACGGTAGACAACGTCATTCAAGCGGGTGACCCTCGCTGAAGCTTTGGAGAACGTCCTTACTTCCGCTGTGGGTTGTACAGCCAAACTAACTCGTCGACAGCAAAACCGCCACTGCTTCCTTTCAAGTCGTATCTGGTTTTGGCCGCCTCCGTGTTTTTCATAATTTTAAGTCGTACGTAACGGTGGATATGGTTTAATCGCTGTCGAAGATTATCCACGTATTCTGTTAATGGTTGGTGTGGTTTAGGTGGTACGCCATATTTCACATCAGCTGGAGTCCCAAACAGAACTCTTGATGGCGTTTCTCCAGTAGTTGTGTAGATAGCACTCCGGTATGCCATAAGAAACAATGGTATATGACGATCCCAATCCCGTTGATTTTCGTCGACTACTTTAGCCAGATGTTCAATCAGGGTTTGGTTGAATCGTTCCACCATACCGTCAGAAGAGGTGAAGAGGGTGAAGAGGTGTCGTTCGAGTTTTGTTTATACCCAGCAGCTTGCACATTTCACCAAACAGTTGTGACTCAAAATTTCGACCTTGATCTGAGTGGAGTTCCAATGGGACACCATATCGACTAATCCAATTGAGTAGAATTTCCTCAGCGACGGTACATGCTTCTTGGTTGGGTATTGGAAACACCTCAGGCCATTTGCTGAAATAGTCCGCTACAACCAGAATGTAACGGTATCCATAATCTGATACCGGAAAGGGTCAAGCAATATCTATAGCAATCCGTTCAAAGGGGACACCAACATTGTAGATTTGCATTGCTCCTTTTACCCTTCTTTTGGGTCCTTTGACTGAAGCGCATGTGTTACATTTTCGACACCAGCTCTCTACATCTTCTCTAACGTGAAGCCAGTAGAATCCTTCTCGTATTTTGTCAAGGGTCTTGTTCACTCCTAAATGTCCCACAGAAGAGCCGCCATGCATTTCATCAAGGATTTCGGTCGTTCTACTTCATGGTATTACAACTTCCATGCGGTGTTTTGATCCATCAGCTGATTCCCATTTTCGTTTCAGCAAATCCCCTTCCAAATACAAAGAGTCCCACTGAGCCCAATAACCCTTTAACACGGCACTATATTCTGAGATGCTTTGCCAGTCCGGTCGCTTGCCCTCCTTCTTCCATGTGATCAGATGTTGTAGGTCCTCATCCGTAAACTGTGCATCAGCAAGATCCGTCGGTGTCCAACCGTCATCCGCTGATATTGTTGTTGCTCTTATGTCTTCCGATTGTATCTTCTCCTCGTGACGACAGCAATATTTGCATCCTGGTAAACATGGTCGACGTGAGAGAGCATCAGCATTACTATGAGTTGTTCCTTTGCGGTGCACGATCTCGAAGTCGTACATTTGTAAACGCTCCAACCATCGGGCCATCTGTCCTTCAAAATCCTTGAAGTTGAGGAGCCATCTTAACGCTGCATGATCAGTTCGGAGAAGAAATTTCTGTCCATAAAAGTACTTGTGGAAGCAATATTGTCTCACGTCGACCATGTTTACCAGGATGCAATATTGTATCAATATTGTTGCATTGACTATTGCTAGTAACTCCTTCCTGGTCACACAATAGTTTCGTTCGGGTTCTGTGTATCCTCTGCTATAATACGCTAGCACCTTATCTTCTCCGTCTATATGTTGTGAAAAAACAGCTCGGATTCCGTTGTTACTTGCATCAGTATCTAACACGAACGTCTTGCCACGAACTAGATATGCTAGCATCCTTTGCTAGCATATCACATAGTTCAACTTTTAACTTTTCAAATGCTGAGTCGCATAGGATATCCTTCTCGGTAAGTTGGTGGAGAGGTCTGGCAACTTTTGCAAAATCCTTTACAAAACGTCGATAGTACGTTGCCAATCCCAGAAAACTGCGCAATTCATTTTTATCCTTTGGAGTTGGCCAGTCTTTCACAATTTCTATCATGCTGGGATTGGTTCGAACTCCATCTGAAGATACCACATGTCCCAAATAGTTAACTTCTTTAGAAAATAACCCGCACTTTTTAACGTTCAGCTTTAAATTTGCCACCCGAAGTCTTGTGAAGATATCTTGTAAGTTTTCGACGTGTTGATCAAATGTTCTTCCTAGAAAAATTATGTCGTCTAAATAGACAAGACAGGTTTTCCAGTTAAGACCTTGCAATACTCATTCCATCAGTCGCTCGAATGTAGCTGGAGCATTGCACAATCCAAATGGCATGACGGTGAATTGCCACAACCCCTATCCGATAGAAAACGTTGTCTTTTCGCGATTGTTCTTGTCGATTTCTACATGCCAGTATCCGCTTTTCAAATCAAGCGTAGAGAACAAACTTGAGCCAGATAGGGTGTCCATGATGTCATCAATCCTCGGTAACGGATAGCTGTCCTTTTTAGTCACATCATTTAATTTACTATAATCAACGCAAAAACGGGTAGTGCCGTCCTTCTTCTTTATCAAAACAACTGGCGAAATCCAGGGACTTGATGGCGGTTCGATGACGCCTTGATTCTGCATTGTCGTTATCATTTCGTTTACTTCTGTTTGTTTTGCTAGAGGAAGACGTCGTGGTACTTGTCGGATCGGTTTCGAATTCTGAGTATCAAATCGGTGAGTTACCAGAGCTGTTTTACCTTGGTCATTGTCACCGGTTGAAAACACGTCTGCGAAATCAGTAATCAACGAGGCGGCTATTAGACGGTCTTCTTGATACAAATTAGATTCAGTAGATTTTTGGTAAGTTCTTTGAGTTTACCTTTGTCAGTTGGTATAACCTTTTCCTGTTGCTCCATATCTAATGATTTCACCAAATTTACTGATTGGCAATTACCTATTTCCTCGCCTTCTTTAATTTTAATAGTGTGTTTAGCGTTATTCATTATTCTGACCATATCTAATGATTTCACCAAATTTATTGATTGGCAATTACCTATTTCCTCGCCTTCTTTAATTTTAATAGTGTGTTTAGCGGTATTCATTATTCTGACAGGAATAAGACCATTTTTGTTCGCTTCTACCAGGCATTTTCCAATGATCGCGTTCTGTACATTTGTCGTTGAGGTTGGCTCCATCAAATAGAACTGGTGGCCCCCAGGATCGCAATTCAACTTGCCTCATACGATGTTTTCAGATGATTGAGGTAGTTTTATGTCACAATCGACTGTCACTCGAATGCATTTTTCGTCGCTATCCCCCATTATCACTTCTGTATTTCTCCATCTAAAAATGCGTTTTTCTAAGTCAATTTTGAACCCATATTTTGTCAGAAAGTCGACACCTATTATGCATTCGTCGATGATATCCGCGACTAAAAATGAACCTTCGAATAACAAGTCGCCTAGCTGAACAGTACGGAGAATCTTTCCATAGACTGGTGCTGTTCTTCCGGTAGCTGTTCGAAGGATGTATTTGTTAGAAGTCTCTTTCTTCAGATTGGGTACCAAATCAGATCTTAAAATCGATTTTGTTGCTCCGGTGTCGACTGTAATTACACATTCTCGTTGATCAACTTTTCCGTTCAGCCATCGGTCGTTTCGATTTCGATGTAGTCTGGAAACGTTAATTACGGTACCGGGGGTGTCAATTCTACTAGCCAACCTCTGCCCCACAAAGTTGGCTCTTATTAGCTTTTCCGCCCCTTCGTTAGAAGGGGCCGATCGTGATACTGGATCATCTTCTCTTCTTTTGCGCCAGCTTGTCGCGCAATTTCGGCAGTAGTTATCTTTTATCACGACGTAGATGGCCTTTTTCACCACAAATCCAGCATTGGGGTACACCCTGCTGTTGGGGTTCGCGTTTCACAACTACCTTCTGGCAAGGGCATTCTTCATGTACTTGGCGTAGACGTACGTCACTTTTTGATGCTTGCTTTGCCGATTCAAAAGTGAGACTGTGCGCAACGGCATCCTTGAGTTTTCGTTTATCTGACAAGAGAAGGGATTGCTTGAGTTCCGAATCACGAAGGGCTTTGATAAACGTATCCAGGGCAGTTTCGTCTCTATGCTCGGGGTCTGATGTCGGACACGACAGCAATGTCAACCGTTCGATATCTTGTGCCAGCTGCTGAATGGATTCACCTGATCGTTGCGTTCTGTTTCTAAGCTGAGACCGATAAATCTGTTTCATGTGTTCTTCACCATAACGTAAATCCAACGTGCTAACCAGAACTTCATAGTTGAAGTGGTTCTCCGCCGGAATTGTCTGCTGCTGAACCTCGCAGGGCCAGTATCAGTGCTGTTGCTCGTTCGTTTCCGTTCCAACAGTTACTAGTTGCCGCTGCTTCGAACTGGGTTTTATAAACGTTCCAGGACATTTCTCGGTCAAATGCTGGTACCTTCAAAGTTCTTCCGGATGCGTGATATAACGGCATGGCCATTTTTTGGATGCTCCAATTCTCGCTTCAATTTGTCTATCTTGTGATCTACCTCAACGATCTGATGATCAAGTTTCTGTTCGATCATTTCTATTCTTGTTGACTGTTCTTCAATCTGTTCTGCCACTTCCAATTTTACGTGTTTTAGCTGGTCCTTGATCTGTTTTAACTCCTCTGTCTGTCGTTCGGACTGTTCCTTGATCTGTTGTTTTTACTCTTCTGTCTGCCGTTCGGACTGTCGTTCGGACTGTTCTTTGATCTGTTTTAACTCTTCTGTCTGTCGTTCGGACTGTTCTTTGATCTGTTTTAACTCTTCTGTCTGTCGTTCGGACTGTTGTTCGGACTGTTCTTTGATCTGTTTTAACACTTCAGTCTGTCGTTCGGACTGTTCTTTGATCTGTTCGGACTGTTCCTTGATCTGTTGTTTTATTTCAGTTGACATACTAAGCAGAAGTTCCATCATTTTAGCGGTTGTAAACGTGTAAAAATTTCATTGTCTTTGTCAGCACCATCAAACTTGAATTCGTCTGGGTTCTTACCTTCGTCAATGAGAGCTTCTCTCAGACGTGCTACTAGTACTTCTTTGTTGCCACTTGTGACAAGGCTTCGTTTCTGTAGTTCTTCTCGTAGCTGAACTACGTTCAAACCACACAGTTTTGACATCGTGTTCTTTATGAGTAGTAATTCGCTGGTCGAAGATCCCATTTCTGACACCAATGTTATAATACTCGCTGTCGTAACCGATTTACGATGCGACGGGTTCAAATCCTCGATTGAATAAAATATTCCAAACAGTTATTAAACTTTATTTACAGAAGAAATCAACTATTATTAGTTATTAAACTTTATTTACAGAAGAAATCAACTAATCGTTTATTTCCAGTAAATTCAAACTAACGCAACAATTAATATTTAAATCGTTCAAAATCGATCGCTATGACGTCAACAAACAAATCAAATATCGCTTTAAATAATTCACCAAATCGCCATTCACAAAATCACGAATTTCACTAATCACGGATTTCACTAATCGCTAATTTTCTTGCGACGTGCGCTTATATACTCTTCGCAAGCGTCGTTTCTAGATTCTTCCACATGGTCCGAAAATGATTGGGAAGGAGTTATTGTGACAAATAAAAAAAAGAGGTTATAGAGAAATCAAGCTATTGGAACATACTATGAAGATGATGGAAAGAATTTTGGAGCGAAGAATTAGGGAGCAGGTTAGTATTGACAAAATGCAATTTGGTTTTTAAAAGTACTTACTATTGATGCAATTTTTATAATTAGACAAATTCAAGAGAAGTTCAGAGCCAAGAAGAAAACTCTTTATTATGCTTTTGTAAATCAGGAAAAAGCCTGATAAGGTCCTGAGGATGATCGAAATTGACTTTATTGTCTATTCTGGAATACTAGTCATTCCAGGCGAAGCATGCATCTCTCAACATCGATTGCTGGTGGCCGATATGATCATGGAACGATCACGCCCTGTGACTGATCGAAAGCCTACTAGAATAAAGACATGGAAACTGAAGAACTCCATGTTCAGAAAGAATTTCGAGGAGCTGGTATCGACACAGAAGGTAGACATAACCTGGAAATCTTTTCAAGACACTCTAGTAAACGCTGCAATAGCTGTATGTAGAAATTCTAGAAATTATATATATACATATATATGAAATATATATATATATTAATTGCAAATGAAATATATATATTTTAAAATTTCTTATATAAATATTTAATATATTTATAAATATTTTTAATTTATTAAATTTAATATGTATATATATATATATATATGTGTGTGTGTGTCTGTGTGTGTGTGTATTTATATAATGGCGGTAGTACGATAATTAGTTTTATGGCTGGCCAATCATATATAAATATATAAGTGATGACGTTTTGCCAGTACCCGGTAGCCCAAATTTAATTGCACTAAGCTGTTGTTTAATCTGACTAAAACGCCATACCTAATATATATATATATATATATATATATATATATATATATATATATATATATATATATATGAATGGTCAACCATAAAACTAACTATCGTACTATCCTGCTATATATATATATATATATAAATATATAAACGAGACAGTGCAAAATGCTATTGTCAGTAAGAAAGCAGCTTTCAAACGATGGCAGAATCGTCAGATACATCGACCAGTACGAGTACATAAAGTAATATAATTATATATAATTGCGGGAGGAGGTCGGATATTCTCACTCTAATTTATATATATATATATATATATATATTAAAATTTCTTATATAAATATTTTAAAAAAAATTTTTATTTAGCAACGTAGACAGCACGTCCCTCCCTAGCAACTAAAATGTGAATTACCTAAAAACACCTTAGTTTCCGATATTAACTAATTTGATAACAATTGCACTTAGCTGTTGTTCTCACTCCAATTAATATATATATATATTGCGATATATATATATATATATATATATATATATATATATATATATATATAATAAAAAAACATTTTTTTTATTTAGCAATTATAAATTTTATAATAAAATTCTTATCAATTTTTTAATAAAAGGTAAGACTAACTTTGCTTTTTTGTTTATATTATATGTTCTGCTCCAGGGATGACGAAACTTTTCTAAAGTATAATTCCCAGGTAACCACAACACCATAGCTCCTTCCATAAAATTTCCGATACCACAAGCTGCATCACTTTTTGTCTTGCAATACAAACATTCTCCCAAAAAACAGGTGTTTGTGCCTAATGCATTTTCAATAAAATTCCAATTTGATTTTTTTTTAACCTTTGCTAAAATAAGTTAGAACAACTAAACAGGTATAATTTTTCATGTGTTAGATGCTATTATAAGATTGTTCCTAAAAATATTAGAGTGGTGGCGAGAAAGTACGATAGTTAGTTTCAGGGGTCGCCAATCATATTTAATAACTAAGATGCATCTTAGTTGTGCAACAAAAAAATAACCGTTACTATTTCGTATGCTAAGTGTTTAATACAAAACTACAAAATCTGAGAAAAACACAATCAATCCTTTTTCAATATAATGGTCATTCAAAAATTACACATGCATCTGTTGTAAAATGTTTGAATCGTTGTTAAAAATATTTCAAATGATCATTTTGAGATTAATAAATTAAAAACTGGCCAATTACTGAAAATGATGAATCGATAAAAATGAAATGTGTTTTTCAAAGATTTTGAAAAATCATTAGACAAGAAAATTGATAAAAAAAATAATCGAATGAAATGTTTGAAAAAAGAAAATTAAATCATGTCTTAAAGCGATTTTAATCGATTTGGGGGACAAGTAATTATCATTATTCTCAGCAAAATTATTATGATTATAATTTTTGAAGATGAAATTTTTATTTGTATTTATATTTTGTTACATTATCTAAAAAACCGATTTTTTTTATGCCACCGTAATAAAATCATGTAACAGATAACTGTTGTTATTATCTGTTACATGATTTTATCGCCATGTTCTGAGTTTATTTGTGGCTTAAAACACTGTCATTAACAACTGTATTATGAAGAAAACGGTTTGAATAACTTTTAAAAATCTCAGCGACAGCTTTTAGCGATCAATCAATCATCCTTTAGCGTCCAGAGACCCAGTTCTCCCGAGGTAGGACGTTGTTTTCTTTGCCATCAATTTTTTGCGCCAAATTAGGCGATCAGTTGTATCCATTGTGGCAGACCTGGTTGTCAAACTGTTAAAACATAAGTCTAAACAAATTCAAATGCCAGACACTAATATATATTATCATATATCTCTAAGGCAAATGTCGTTTCTTCTATTTAACTGCAATAGTCTGTGATCTAATTAGCGACACATTAGCAAATAGATTCAAAAGTTATTATGCTCATCTAACATGTTGGTGTGATAACTTCTTTTGATGAAGATAGTTGAATATGCTGTTTTAACAACGCAACGTCCGATATGTATTCGTTCAAAAATGAAATCGTTTTTTTGCTACCATTGTTGGCGATTTGCTTTTAAAAATTACGGTGAATAAACTTTATGCAACGCTGGACAATGGAGAAAAGTTTTTTATTATAATATTGAACAACAAAAAAATTGCTTTTTGCAGTATAAATTTTATGAAACTTGGTTCACCAAGCTTTATTAAAAAATGTTCAAAAAATATTAAAAAATCATTTTAAGAGCTATAACAGCCATTGTTGCACAACGTAGTGGTGAAGACCATTGCGATACGGACATAACAAAATATTGCCAATGACCAAACCGTTGCAACTTTAACAGCAGGTTAATTATATAAAATAAACAACGTATGTTATCAATAATCATAATATAAAAAATAAAAATACCATTTTTTACAAAAAAAGTTTTTTTTAATCTCCGAGTAGCAACCGGTATTATTTCTAGTCTAAGGTCAATTAATCTACCAACTACTGGAGGCGCTCTCTTCATGTTCAATATTCTGTAACAAAATAAAATGTTATATTACATAATAAATTATATAATAAAATAAATTATTTAATAATTATATTGCGTTAAATTATACTATATTGCATAAAATAAAAATATATGCAAAAAATTGATATGAAAAAATATTCCACTAAATTTTAACGAATATATGTATATGTTCAATCAACTAACAAGTAGTTAGAATGATCTTGACAGAGACATTTGGTTCTATTTTTATTTAACAATTTGGTCTCAAATTTTTTAACATTGTTCGGTCATTAATTTTGATAATTTTTATCGTTGATAATAAATTTTTCGCCCGAACGATGATTTGCCCAATTATATTATAAAAAATAATATTTCAGATGATTCGCCCGATCATTGGAATATTCTCCCGATAACTAAAAAATACTCTGTGGTTCATTTGATCATTTGAATGTTCTTTTAATTATTTTTTCGGGTCGATTGTTAAAAGTTTATGTTTGGTTACAACCGCACACACTGTGCAAAGTTTTATTACAATCTATCATTTATTAGTTCAAGCTTTTGGTGTGTTAATCAGCCATTAGTTCAAATTAGTTAAGATAGTAGCAGTTTGAAATCATTTAGTGGTTAATTTATTTATGATATTGTTGTAAATCTTTTACGCTCGTAACTACTAACACCAATGTTAAGTCATCAATGATTTCTATTTCCGACAACAGCGTTGTAGATTTCAACGATTGCAAGTTATTGTTATTCCGTAGTTCAAGTTTTCCGATAAATGAACATAACTGCTTCAAACGTAAACTTCGTTGAACGTTTATTTAAATGCCAACAGTAATAGAAACACTGAAGTAATCCAAGTAACTACATAAATTACTACAAATATTTTCATTCAAAACAAGAATTAGTAACTTGTTTCAAGTTTTGAGAAAACCCTTTTAGCACGCATTTGGAATGAAAGCTTGATTCTTGTCTACCTAGATGATGGCTTCAATGCTGATGAGGATGAGTTTTTCATGATATACTACAATAATTGTAAGAATTAGTCTTAAAGAACAACAGTAGCTCTAAAGACAATTCTACTTTGAAGCGTAACCATGTAATATATGAATTTAAATGCCATATTGGCGACTGTGTGCGTCAACAACATTCGTATATTGGTGTTACGACTACTTCACTATTAAGACGTCCTACAAGTCATGCACTACAATACAATATATACCACAAGCTGGGTGTCGGTCCGCGAAGTTTCTGTTAAATTCGTTAAATTAAATCCGAACCAAAAAGTTTGAGAAACACTGTTGTAGAGTGTAAACACTGTTCTTTGGCATGTTGGCATGTTATCCACAAGCTTCTGTAAATCAAATGATGTAATTAAATGAAACCAAGACTTGATTATGGCAGTTAGTTCACGCTTGTTTGAGGGTCGCTGTTTTGCGACGTCTTTATTCAGTTTGGCCCACAGATTTATCATAAGATTGAAATCGGAACTATTTTAAAATAAGTTAGACATTTGTATACCTTGTGGCATGGAGAACCATCTTGCTGACTGACTTCTTGAAAAATGGCACGAGCTGATTGAAGAAGTTTTGGCTTGAAAACCTCCCTGATGTCCATAAGCGCTTGCAGCCTGCCAACATAATCCATGCAACCCCAAACCATTACACTTACGGGGCGCTTGATAGCGGGCACATCCCTCGCCCGGTCTGCGACGAACACACCTGTTTTGGCAAGCATTTTATTGATCTCTACAGCTGTTGTTTTTTTTATTCATAAAATAATATTCTTAAAATTGAATTGTTACTATTTTCCTGCCTCTTCCTGACTGGTTCTTGATGGATACTCCAGAATAGCCCTTACACACTGTCTAATATTGGCTGCGATATCTCGATAATTGTGGGTATCCTCAATGTAATGTATATAGGCACTTTTTTTGTGTGACCGTTCCTAACCCTAACCCAACTGGTTGTAAATTTAAAAAAAAAATGATTCGTTGAATAAATTTCACACTATTTTTGTTTTATTTCAAAAAATCAAATAAATTATCATATTGGACACTAGAAAACTTTAAAAGTATGGTCAGAGGTCTAGGCGATATTAGAACCTTTTCTGACACAAAAATCAACCTTAAATTTTCTCTAAAAATATTAATAAACAAATAAAGATTATATATTTCCGTTTGTTCCATATATGTGAGTAAGAATAAATGATTAATGAATGAATTTATGAATTTCTTGATGAATTTGAAATTATGCGTGTCATGGCTAAACACCGCTAAGTGTTTTTTCAATTTTGGCCAGTGTATAATAAACTGAAAACTGTTTAAAAATTTAATTTAAAGAAATAAATAAACTTAAAAATAAAACAACGAAAAAGAATTTAAGCTAGTCTTAAACTTTAAAAAATTTAACTAAAATTCAACGAAAACAATAAGGTTCAAAATTTCTTTTCTATTTTGATCGAGGGACACATGATCTCGAATCACTCCCGCAAACTAGGATTGGTCAATAAACATAAATCGTAAACAACCTGAGACACGTACCAGAGATCAGAACATGACAATAATAATTTAATGAGAAAAATATAAAACAAAACACAAAATTTAAAATAAACTAAGAAGTGAGTAAGTAGGTTGTTGAACCTGCTTATATGATAAGATGCAATTTCACCGTTATGTCTGTCATATCCTTCGTAAGGCAATCCGTTTACTGAGTAATTGCGCGAATAGCTGAAAAATAATAACGTTAATGAACAAAAAATACCGAATGTTGCCATTTTAATTTTTCATAATAAATCTTATCTAGATAATACTAAGAAAAACTAACCATCCAAATTTTATTTTGCTTTGCTTTTAAATATTATATACCAAGAAAATTTTGTTTTTGTTATATTCGCGTAGTGCTAGCATACGAAAACGTGACCCTGATGTTGCGATTAGGTTGCAAAAGTATAATCAAAAAGTTAGTTTAATTCATTTTGGTTCATGTGTACGAAAAACCGTGTTTTGAAGGTTCTGGCTTTTTTGTTTTGGCTGAATGTTGTGTTTTATAAAATATTCGACTCCGGCCTCTCAAAAATTTCCGACTAGGACGCCTGGAAAAATTTTCTAACTTCCAATTCTGATTTCCGACTCCCTAAAAAATTTTCAACTTTTGCATCATAATTTCACTTTATGAGAACTAAATAGAAAATACTTTGAAAACACTCAAAATCCGTCAATGTAATTGTTTTTCTTAGTAAAATAAATTATTTTTATGTTTTAAAACAGACAAAAAAGATTTTCTACTTTTGCATCTAATGATTCACCATATTATCATTACTGAATAAAAAAAAGCTGTACAAATTTTTGGTTTACAAAAGGTTTCTTTTGAGAGCTTGGATAGCTGAACGTGGAATGGAACGATATGCCTTGGTGTCATAGACATGTTTTCTCGGTTTGATAACAATTTTTTAAGATCGAGATTGTTTTATGATTCACGAACTATAAATTGTTAAATTTAAGTCAGAAGTTAAAAGTGGGCAAAATTGGTTAGTTAAAAATTTTTAGGTCAAATATTTTTTAATTTACTAGAAATTTTCACAAAAAGGAAAATTTTAAAACCAGTAATTGGTGTTTCAAAGAAAAATTTGAAAATGCATTTTTTATCTATAGAATCAAGCATTTGTGTAGAATTTAAAATACTTGACGGTAAATAATAATGATGGTGAAAGAAACAAATTTAATTTAAAATATCCATATCCATATACATACTTTATACAAATACTGCACAAATTTTATTCAATTTGTAAGTACAGTAAACAAACTACCATGTCTATTTTGTATTTTGCAGTATAAATACAAATTGCAACTATTGGAAAATAATTAAATAAAAACCAATTTTATACTATAATTCGATCTTCATTTTGAGAAAGATAAAATTATATTTATAAATTTACCGTATTGAATTAATTGAAAATAAAACGAAATACGATATCATGCATTAAAATGCTATAAAATATATAAGGTTAGGTTTATCATATCATTTCGGTTTTTTTTCGGTTTTTTTCGGTTTAATCCAGCTTTCAAAGGAAACTGCATAAATACTAATTTATAATTACATTTCAATTGTAGTGCTGCAAAAGCTGTAATATCCACATTACACAACCTACACACATGACGATATTTTCAGCGACAGTATTTAAACTTTGTCATCGCGCAATAACAACACCACCAACTGAGGTTATTCGCCTGTTAAGATGGTAGTTGTCAGTGCTTCTCCACTTAATCAAGCCAAAAAAGTAAGTTATACTTGTAGCTAAGAAACTTTCACAGACTTTACGGCTAACGAGATAATATATAATTGGATGTCAAAACTTACGCAGACAAAACTAAACAGCAAGACCAGTAAAAGTGCAGTTTTTTTTTAAGAATTGATTTTGTGGATTTTTCTGACACCTTTTTATTGTATTAATAACATAATAAAAAAACTATAATAAAATAATATAATAAAAAATAATAAAAGTAAGATAGTTAAAGTACTAAACATCCACTCAATAATCGGGCTTTACTATGTCATGTTTTTTTGTGTTTTAATTGATATTATTTTACGTTGCTTTTTATAAAAAAATTATAAAAATAAAAAAATTCAACAACTTGGTAATTACTATTTACCGCATTGGTTTGAAAACAGCGGTAAGGTTATTCAACTTGATCAATAATTTAAGTTGTGTCCCTTTTTTTAACACATCTGCACGTGTGATTGAAGACTTGGTAAGTTCATGCAATATGTATCCTAAAACAACAAAAAAAGACAATGAATCATTGAATTTAAAAAAGAACTTAATTGTTAGAAAAAAAATTAATAAGTTAAAAATAAAGAATATAATAAATAAAGAATAAAAAAAATGTCAATATTGTTGCAGTATGTAAAACATTAGTTCAAATCCTAAATAGTATATAACTTGTTTTTATTTAATTTTTTTTCAATCATATATGCTAATTATAATTCATAATCATTATCTATGTTCAAGTATTTATTGAATTTTTATTTTTGCCTATTTTTTTTCAGTTTGTGTTTGACCAGTTTTATTATTGTATGTTATTACCTTGGTATTTGTAGCTAGAATTTATTTTTATATTTTAGGTTTGAAATTCATTTATTTTATATTTCTATATTTCATATTGTTTTATTATTTCATACTGTTATTTCATTTATTATTATGTTCTTTAATCATTTATTTTAAATTTCTATTTTAGATAAATAAATCAAGTTGTTGAAAGCAAACTTATGAATTAAATTCCAAAATCATTCAATCAATCAAACTTTGTTTAGCGTCCAGAGACCCAGTTTCCTGAGGTAGGACGTTGTTTTCTTTGCCATAAATTTTTTGCGCCAAATTAGATGATCAGTTGTATCCATTTCATTTAAATTTAGAGCTTTCATGTATTGCAAGAGAAGTTATGGCACTGTTTCCACTTCGTTTGACATGACCAAACCACTGCAGACGGTGTTGCCGGCATTCGTCCTTTATATCAACTAAACCAGCACGACACAGGATTTCGGTAGATTTGATGTGGTCATTCAGACTAATTCGTTGCATTCAGCGGAGCATTTTCGTGTTAGTTGGTTGAAGTTGTTGTACCAGTTTGATTGCCATGTTCTGCATCATAACAACACCGGACGTATCACAGATTTATAAAGTCTTGATCGTAGTGGTAGTGGGATGTCACGTCGCATCAATATAGAGGCAAGGAGATGACATTTATTCCAGGCTGCACGTATGCGAGCGCGAACGGCAGCTTCAGCTGTTCCAGTACAATCCAGAACATTCCCTAGATATTGAAACGATGTGACTTTCTCTACATTAATGGCTTCAAAAACATTGCTATTTCGTATTTGTTGTTGTGGATTGATGAAAGCAGGACAAACAAAATTGGACATTTTAGATAAATTACCAATTATTTTTGAACAACGTTTGTGTCAAATTAAATTCTAAAATGATGGCTTCAAAAACAAATAAGTTGTATTTTCATATCAAAAAAGATGATACTAAATTTGAATTAGCGAGCATGTCAGAAGATACAGAAACGTAATACGAAGAATATAACGACTTAAGTTTGCACGAAGTTCTATCTACCAAGCAAATAATAATTAATGCGATCAAAAATATCAATGATTGTCGCAAAATTCAAGTTAGATTCGATAAAGAAATGAAAAAGGAATATTATGACTAGTGTTGACGAGTACTTAAGTGCATTGGTACTAAGTACGTACTTAAGTATTAAAATGGTACTTATATACTTGTACTAATCGACTAATCGCTATAATTTTATTAATGTTATTTTTTAGTGAAATCTATAATAGGTTTTGTTTTTTTTTTATTTTTATATACAGAAGATTCATAGAGAAAAATATCTCAAAATGATGCATGAAAATAAAAATAAATTGAAGACTGTGAAGTGAGGTGCAAATGGAGATGGCACACTCCACCTGCAAAACAGTCAAAATTTGATTTTTCATCTGTATCACATAAAGTTAAATGACTTAATTAATAATTTTGTTATTCTCGACATGCAGCCACTTGCTGTTGGAAAAAGAAAAAGCTTTAGAAAAATGATGCAAAGTGTGAATCCTAAAGGCAGAAAGAGGTTCTAACAAGTCCACGATATGGCAAGGGACATCAAAGCCACAAAAAAGAAATTACATAGCGTTTTTATTGAAGTTAAAAGATGCCTTTAGGTGACGGTGAACGGTCGACCTGGAGTGATAAAATGACCAATCAATCTTCGTTTAGCATCCAGAGCTTTCATGTCTTGCTCGATTGTTTGCGACCAGGACTTCTTTGGACGGTCTTTAGGACGTGTGCCAGGTACTTCAACATCTGCAAGAGAAGTCATGGAACTGTTTCCACTTCGTTTGACGACCAATCCACCGCAGACAATGTTGCCGGCATTCGTCATTTATATCATTTAAACCAGCACGACGCAGGATTTCGGTAGATTTGATGTGGTCATTCAGACTAATTCGTTGCATCCATAGGAGCATTTTCATATCGGTTCGGTGAAGTTGTTGTTCAAGTTTGGTTGTCATTGGCCATGTTTCTGCAACATAACCACACCGGACGTATCACTGATATATAAAGTGTTGATCGTAGTGGTAGTGGGATGTCACGCCGCATCAATACAGAGGCAAGGAGATGCCATTTATTCTATGCTCGAACGGCAGCTTCAGCTGTTCCAGTAAAATCCAGAACATTTGCTAGATACTGAAACGATGTGGCTTTCTCTACTTTAATGGCTTCAAAAAAATTGCTATTTCGAATTTGATGTTGTTGATTGATGCAAGCAGGACAAACAAAATTAGACACTTTAGATAAATTACCAATTATTTTTAAACAACGTTTGTGACACCACTGGTTACACTGGTTACATTGATTCAATTGTTACCTACACCAGCTACAAACTGAACAGGGCCATTGTCCTGTAGCTGTGGATTGGATGGGTTCACCAGTGTTCATTCCTTTGGTTTTGCCGATGTTGCCCATGATCCATGATCGGCGAGTCTGGTGTTCCAATCTTCAAACATCTGCGCTGCATTCTGCTCAGAGGTGGCTGTTAAAACGATATCATCAGCATATATTAGATTCCAAATGTCACCACTGCGTATCGGTTTTGTGATTTTTTCCATCGCAGTTAAAAATAACAGTGGACTGAGAATCCAGCCTTGGTGAACTCCAACGCCGATGTCAAATGCATCTGTTTCCAACCGTTGTGCTGACGAGTCTTAAGTATTTGTATACATGTATAAATTAAAATTTTAAAATATTTAACCAAATATCTTACTGATAAGCAAACCGAATTTCTTTAAAAGAGAATAGTTGAAATTTTTGGAGTATTCTGCGATAGTCATTTGATTAAATAGACTTTTATTTTATTAATATAGTATTATGGTTTATTGTATTTTGGAACCTCTATGTCTAAATGCCTGTCTGTAAAAATTATTAACAGAGATAAAATGATGATTTTCTATGTGTATAATTTAAAAAACATGCTTTATTGTATCTTGGTTCCTTAAGTACCTGTCTGTTAAAATTAACATAGATAAAATGATTAAAACTACACCGCTGACCTTGGTCTAATACAATATCGTGCTTACTCATAAACACCAGAGCTCAACTAGAACTAGATATTAAAAAAGCGGATTTCTAAACAATTAAACAAATTCCAAAAAGTAAAATTTATTATAAACATTACCCACCTAACTCGACACTAGATTCTGGTCCTATTTGAGTGGTGGATACAATGCGTTTAAAAATCGAATGAAGCAGTGACGCATTTGAATGTCGAACATGAAAGCTATATAATTTGATAAACGATTGCACAACAGATTCTTGTTCCATTTCGTTTATTGAAGCAAGTAGGGACGGTTTCATATCTACGTTAAAAAGTTTAAATTCATAACATAACCATTAATTTTAAACGTTATTCAATCAAGCAAGCAAGCAACCGACCGACCGACCAACCAACCAATCAATCAAATATATATTAATGACGCTCTAGCCAAATTAGCAAAATAAAATGTATCTAGCTAGTTAAACAATAATAATGAAATTATAAACAATAAGTGCAAATAATGTAAAAAAAATAAATAAGTAAATTAAAAAAATATATACACGTGTAAATATACCTGGATACACTAATTTATATATACATAGAAACACTCTAAACATACAAAAATGTTTACATATATACCTGGTTGATTCTGGCTGATATGCTTGACTCAAAGATTAAGCCATGAATGTCAAAGCACAAATGAAGCTTCGAATAGCTCATTAAGCCACCCATGATTTCTGAGATCGAGCCCCCTAAAACACTCCAACCCTGGTCAGGCCCTAAGGGTTAGATAGGTACCGTGCGTCCGCGTCGTGGGGGATGGGCAATAGCACTATGGAAGATGTAGACAAAGGGTATGCCGGCTGGCAAAAAGAAAAGCAGAGGAGGTGTCCAATCACAAGTTCAGACTAATTGGATGCCAAAGCTGAGTACGATTAACCTGGAAGCGCCACGCATGCCGGAAACAAGGAGGATGCATCTTCAACTTTGCTAGCTAAAGTCGGAGTGGTCAGAGGTAAGCCTCCATAGACAAGTCAGATTGTCTAATTTTTAAGACCTGCTGATCTTATAATGGGATGAAACAATATAGATCCCAGTGGACAAAAAGTCAAAGTATTAGATACCGTGCCGATGAATGATGCCGGTAAGACGGCGTTGCGAACGTTTCGCCCTGGGCACCAGCTCTAGGTGTATTAGCGGCTTTGATTCTGAAGTCGACCTATATTTCCCAATAAAAAAAAAAAAAGGTGTAGACAAAAGTGATGATAATAGAAATAACAGGCAACTAGCAGCCCTGGACACAAGTGATGAATTAAAAAAAGTAAACGCCTGGAACTGCTGAAGTTTATTAAACCAAAGTCCATAAAGAAATCAAGAGCAAGATGATCAACATAGCTAATGCTTTTATAGAGGTAAAAACACTTGAAATGAACAGACAAATGATGCAGCTTTCAAATCAGCTACATAAAGCAATATTTCCACCACTAGAGAAAAGCGCACGGAATCTAGAAGAGTCGTCGGCTATAGATATCGGAGTCGAGGTGGGCAGTGAGCCTGCTGCTGACACTCGGCCTGTCAAACGGAAAGACCGATCGCAACTGGAAAATGGAAATAAAAGGAGAAAAAAGGAAGCACGAACAACCTCATTGACTCCCTCCCAGAACAACGTAGAACAACATTCTAACAATAAAATGGTCACCGGATGGCAACTGGTAAAAACAAAGAAAGAAAAACAGAATCAACAATAATTCGCCTCGAAGACAATTTCGATTACACAAATTAGCGATAATGGGTGTGCAGAGAAAATAAAAATTAGCTGGGTTAACTGTAGAATTATATCAGTAAAGAAACCAAATAAATGCTATAAATGCTGGTATTGTAGGCACCTAGCAGCACAATGAAAAAGTTCTGTAGATAGATCTAAACTTTGCACTGGGTTTGAAAAAGCAGGTAAAAAAATAGCAGATTGTAAAAACGAGGCCTGATGCGTTTTATGTGTTGAAGAAAAACTACTCGAAAAACTGTGCCCACGTTACTGGTACTAGCAGAAGTCAAAGACTGTGCGTGATCTGAGAGTGAATCTGGCAATATTATCAGAACCCTAAAAAAATTTAATACGCAACCACGGGTAATGGATAGAACTGCAAAAGCGGTTATCTTGTTTTGTAGCAAGTTACCTTTTCAGAATATAATTAAAAACGCAAAAGAAAGTTTTGTGGCAGCCTAAGTAGAAGGCATATATTTCTATTAGATTAGGGTAGCAAAGAAACCAATGCAAGAGGAAACGCGCTTCTAGAAGCGGATGTAGTTCTGTGGAATAGCAGAAATAAACAAACCTACATTTATTAGAGGAGAAGCAAGTTACATGGTAGACCTTACCTTTGTTAATTTCACCTTTGTAAAGGGAAACTTTTCCAAGGAGGTAATGGACGCCTACACAATAAGCGACCAATGTGCACTGTTTTTGGAAGTGACCACCAGTTTCAGCTCTAGATGGAGGCAGACAAGAACAAATGCCGTTAGATGGAAAGCAAAATTTGTAGAGCCAAATGTCGTACAAAATACTGAAAATAAACCAGAGGATTTAATAAGAAGAATGGTAAAAGCTAGTGATTAGAGTATGCCCCGTAATACATTTCGAAAAAAATGTCTTAAAGTGAGAAGTACATTACAACATGCCTGGAAGAAAGCAAATTATCTAGAACTGAAAGTAGCTTACAAAAAGACTCGTCTGAAACTAAATAAGGCTATCGAAAAACGTAAAAAAATGCTGGATGGAGCTCATCAAGTGGAATACCTAACATTGCCTTGAAGACAGTTATAAAAGGCGGGAACCAGAACAATTCTTAAATGTTTATAATTATTGTCTTAGCAGGAAGGCTAACAGTGGGTAGGCGGGAGAAACAGAAGCCAAATGTCGAAGAGATTTTTAGTCGATATGGGATCTACTCGAGTCCGACATTTCAAAGTAATGTACCCTGCCTCTACCTCAAAAAAAACATATACATACACACGCACACACACATACACATACTTAAGGAAATAATTCCAGGTGTTACAGGATGCTTGGAACACACATCGATGATCTAGGAAGCAATCCAACGAGCAAAAACAAAGGGACAGTCTTCACTTCGTCTGGTTGATCTAGCAAATGCTGATAACGCCGTGCCTCGCTATCTACTACTACTACTAACGATCAATAAAATAACAAATTCAATAATGAAAATGTCAACACGCAATAAACCTGGTGTTATTTATTATTATTATTACTATCATTATTATTATTATTAACGTTATTATTGTTATTATCCTAATTATTACAATTGTTATTATTATCGTTATTATTATTAGAAATTTGCAATTTACTCAATTAAATTAAGATCTATCTAAATTTTTTCATTCCTGTTGCCTTCTCGTTAGCCCTGCTCGTTTTGCTTTGATCGTTTGTTTTTCATATGATCATTAAAGTTTTCAGGTAACTTTCACGTGATAAATAATTATACAGCCTAGCAGTATCGTGTGCGCTTGTCTTTGTTTTCTTTAACAGTCGAGATGATTTGGTTATTAGTATAATTATTAATATTACTACGTGTCGATTTCACAATCAGGATAACCAAAAAAAGCTGACGCAGCTGGCAAATTGTTTAAGTAGAGGATAAATAACTACCAACATTAAACATGACATGACATTAAACTGACCAACATTAAATATCTATCAGGATAAATAACTACCAACATTAAACATTAACATGACATTAAACTGACTCTCACTGCCTTGTGAGTGATGTTGGATCATCAAAAGCTAGGCCCACCGCTTATAACTGTGGTTGCGTAAGGAAGGGCGTCCTGCGTAAAAACTAGCCAAAAAATAATACTTATGATGACGGAAATAACAATGGCCCTCAGTATCCGGCAGAAGAGGGTGCGAAGAATCTCCGGAGACCCAGTCCATGGGGTTGTGGTGCAAGGCCCTGTAGATGGTCTTGCTACTGGCACCCCACTCTATAGTGTGGCGGTGCAAGGCACTATAGATGGAAGGCGGATACTTGTAGACCAAGGGGATGGAGGTTTGGTACCTGGAATGTAGGCACGTTGACAGGAAGAAGTTTGGAAGTGGTGGAGGAGCTGCAGAGGAGAATGGTTGACGTGGCATTACAGGAGATCAGATGGAAGGGTGAGGGTACAAGGTTTGTGGGAGCTAAAGGTGGAAGATATAAGTTGTGGTGGAAGGGGGATGATGGTATGGGAGGAGTTGGTGTGATGGTAAGAGAAGAGTTGGTGGAGAAGGTGTTGGAAATGAGGCGGAGAAGCAATGGTGGTGGTGATGGTGTTTGGAAAAGTAATAGTGAGGGTGATATCAGGATATGCTCCGCAACAAAGTAGGAAGGAAGAGGAGAAGGATAGGTTTTATGATGATGTTTCTGACGAGATTGGGCGAGCGGGGTTGGATGAGTTTGTGGTGTTGTTGGGTGATTTGAATGGTCATGTGGGGGCGGATGCAGACGGATATGAAGGTGTACATGGGGGATGGGGATATGGTATACGGAATGAGGAAGGGCGTAGAGTGTTGGAGTTGGCGGATGCACATAGCATGGTGGTGGGGAATACTTATTTATCAAATAATATTGCCAGTATTTTATTGCGTCTTTGATAGCTTTGCATTCAAGATGGATGATGTCCATTTTCTTTTCTTTTCTTTTTCTGATAATTTTCTTGAGAAGTATGCAACAGGATGTAACAAACCATCAGGATGTAGTTGTTTCAAAGTAGCTCCCATTCCTTTATAACTGGCATCAGTTTCAATATAAGTGTCTTTGGCTTTATCGTAAATGGCTAAGATTGGCTGAGAACATAAATATTCTTTTATCAAGTTGAAAGAATCTTCACAATCTTGGGACCAATGAAACTTAACATTTTTTTTCAAGAGCTTATGCAGTGGTTCAAATTTTTGAGCACTATTTTCGATATATTTAAGGTAGAAGTTAATAGATCCTAACACTTCTAACTCCTGTTTTATCTGTTGGTCTCTTAAGATTCTTGATGGCGATTAAATTTTCTTTTTATTTTTTCTATTTCTTTTTATTTTTTTGAATAAAATGTCCAAGATATTTAATGGTTTTAGCAGCGAACTTACATTTTTCTAATTTTAATTTAAAACCTTCTTCTGTGATAATTTGTAGAGTCTCTTCAATATGAATAATGTGTTCTTCCTAAGAGCGTGAAAATATAAGTATGTCATCAATATAGTTAATGCAAAAATTGTCCAGATAATTTCTTCTTATGATATTAGATAGAATACGTTGAAAAATTGCTGGAGAATTTTTAAGACCAAAGGGTAAAACCTTAAACATGAATTTTCCATACTTAGTTATAAAAGAAGTCTTTTCTCTATCTTCCTTTTTTAATAATATACACCAAAATGCAGAATTTATATCAAGTACAGTGAAATATTTGCAATTTGGTACCTTATCTATGACATCATTAATAGTAGGGAATGGATAGCATTCAGGAACTACTAATTTATTTAATCGTCTGAAATCAATGCAAAGTCTTGTCCGACGACCATCATCTTTTTTAAAAGCAAGAGTTACTGGCGAGGCATAAGGAGATTCCGATTCTTCAATTAAATCAGCTTCTAATAACTTCTTGACTTGGGTCTTGATTTCCTCTTCATCAACTATGGACTATTTATATGGTCTTGCTGTTACATATTCATCTCTGGTTAATTTTATTTCTGCTTCTTTCGACTTCACTTTTCCTACATTATATTTATCTTTTGCAAACATATGTTTGTACTTGTTTATTAAATTTAAAATATCTTTTCTTCTATTCATATTTTCATTAAAATTGACTTCTGAAATTTTAATTAAATTATTTTTTTCTGCCTTTTGTAGATTAAATTGGTTGTCAGTCAGTTCATCTGATTTAACCATGTTGTGATTGTTATTCATCTTATCTCTTTCTTCTATTTTGATGATCTTGTTTTTATTAATTCTTTGTAGAATGTTAAAATTTTCATCTTGAATTAGTTTGAACTTTTTTATTGCATCTAGACCCAGGAAAAATTATTATTTTTGACTACGTATGTATTTAAATTATCCGTTAAATTACCAACCTTAACAACTATATTTGCCCGGGCCGAACTAAAATTGAGCCCAATGATGGTTTTGAAAGTACTTCTATTATTCATTAAACCTAGTTTTAAAATATCTATGATTTTCCAATTTATTAGACTTATATTTGATCCACTATCATAAACAGCTTTAACTTTTAATTTATTATCGATTATTACGTTTACTCTTATCAGTGCATTCAATTTTCCCGGGCTTTCTAGTTTAAAGATTTCTTGTCAATTTCAATTTTCATCATATGTGCTTCGTCATCTGTTTGGTAGTTAGTATCATGAATATTAATTTCTCTTTTTGATGAATAAAGAGTCTTATTTCTACATTCATTTGTTGGATGGTATCGATTTTTCCAGCCCAATTCTTCACACATAAAACATGGTTTATTTATTTGCTGTGCTATTAATATTCTTCTCTGACCTGATAAAATTTGGTCTAACAAAATTTTCTTTATTTAGAGTGTTATTTTCATGTCTTTGATTATGTTTATTTAGAGTATTATTTGTCTTTGCATCTACTTTGTATTTTGGCACCGAAATTTCTTTGTCAACTTTATCAACACAAACAGAGATATTCTACCGAATACTCCCGTATCCGTATTGTATGATATTTCATTACTTAAAAATTTATTGTCATATTTTGGCTTGATGTTAGAAACACATTCATCAATTTTAGTTAGTTCTTTGAACAGTTTCTCAATGGTCGCTATTTCTTCTCTATCAAGCTGGTTTTGTATTTCTACAGGAAGGCCCATAACGATCATGTTTATTCTCGACATTTCAATTTCTAAACATAGGTTTTTCTTCGCTAAGGCATAGTCTATTAAAGAACCACCTAAATATTTGTAATTATATGCGGTTCTTATTTTTTCCCAACCTCTATCTGCAAAAATGGTCAGAAAGGACTTTCTCCATTCTGACCAATTAGTTAAGCCGATCTTTTTTAAATTTGATTCGTACCAATCTTCCGGTGACCCAGATAAAAAGAAGCGTAATGCTTCTATGAAATTAGTAGGATTCAGTATTTTATGCCTTCTACATTCATTTTCAAATTTCTCTATCCATTCAGTAGGGTTTTGCTTTTTGTTGAATTTTTCCAGAATAAATTTTTTTTCAACGTCTTGCAGCTTAAAGTTATCATTCAGACTTAGCTTAGCTTCTATTTCTTAATTCGTTCATTTAAAAAATTCATTTCTATGTTTATTATCAATAATTTTTTCTTCTAACATATTATCTAAAAAACATAGATTTTCGTCTTCGTCGTAATATTCTTTTCTCAATTCATCATCGAGTTTGATGCAAATTGTGCGATAACCGTTGATAGGTTTGATAGAATTAATTGTATTTATTATTGCCCGCTTCGTAGATAGAGCTTCGTGCAAACTTAAATCTTTCAACTCTTCAGGTAGGACATACCATGTTTCTTTATTTTCCGATATGCCCGCTAATTCAAATTCGTCATTATTTCTTTTAATAATACAAAAATACAACTTACTGGTTATTGAAGCCATCTTCTTTTTGGAATTTAATTTATAAGTTTGCTTTCGAATAACTTGATTTATTTATTTAATATGGAATTATTTAATATTCAATTATTTAATACCAAACTGATTTATTAAAATAGAAAATCCAAATGAGTGAATAAAGAACATAAATAAAATCAATTGAAACAATATGAAATATTACAGAAATTATAAATGAATGACCAACCTAAAATAGAAAAATTAAATTCCAGGATCGTTTACAAAGCCAACAATAATAAAATATAACCACGTGCAATAATAAAATATAACCATGTGCTATTTGCATTTATATATAAGATGATACCAAAGTAATGAAACCTAATTTACAAGCACAGAATAGAAATACATAGATAATTATACTAATAAGGATGAACTTTTCATCGCTGCATCACTGCTATCCGTCAGATCATTCTACACTTAGCAAACTCACTAGAAAGAAAGCACTTGCTTTATATGCCAACAAAATCAAGAAAGAGCCACGACGTCTGCCTATGGCTGTAGGAATAAATTTTGTTTATTGTTGGTAATCAATTAAAGGTTCTATAAAGTTTGCTTTCGAAGCAGCTGTGTTCATCTATCTTAAACCTAGCTACAACACTAGTGTTGGAAATTATTGAAGTTATAACATCGGTGTTGATAGTTACAAGGTCAAGGGTTACAACAATATCATTTATAATTGTAGTTGAACTTCCGTTCCACAAATGCCACACCACACCAAAACGACGTACACTACAAAGTTCATGACTAAACTCGACTTTTATTTATCGTAGTGCATCAGATTGAACAATTTAAACACTGACAAACATTTTACAAACTCAAAAAATAACTTGAAACAAAAATTATATTAATAAATTTTTAAACCTTTGTCTGCTGGCTTAATGTGACGAACTTCCAAATAATCAACTAAAAAATTTTCTTCATTCAAATAATACACAAATATAAGAGCACATGACATAAAAAACGATATTCCTCCAGCCAATAAAATTATCCATTCAATTTTAGGTTTTTTCCTTTTCAACATGTTTTCCAATGTTATGCATTCTGTGCTAAAAAGCTGTAATAGAAACATTTGACAATTAAATAATTATATAAAAATGTATTATTAAGTTAAGTTATTTCATAAGACGTGTGTAGTTCGCTGATGTAAAATTTCACTTTTTGACGTTCTAACATTTTGTTAAATTTTTATGTAAGTTGTGGTAAACTTAGTTACAATCTTTTTCAAGTTTAAATAATAAATCATTTGAATTTAATTAAAGTTAATTTCGTAATATTGTTTGCAATTTACTCTGTATAAATAAGTTTTAAACACAGAACGGGAAAGTAAATGGGAACAAAATATTTCTTTTGTCAATAACAACATAAAGATAAAACAAAAAATATTTCAAATCGTACTGAAAAGCGTTTAAAAAATATCAAAGCTATTAATAACTTAAGTATTGCCCTTATTAATACAAATAAACGTCTGAAGAACTATTTGTTCAACTTACCGTAGCAAAGGAAATGAAGAGAGCGCTTCTGAGGTAATCTCATAATACAATAGAAATGATGTGTCAAAAAATTCCTAGCTCTAATCCTAATTTCTAAAGAATGAATGGATGTAAAACAAGAAATATGATCTTCTAACAGTGACTGAAAGTTGACATTTTACTACCGATTATATTTGCTTGCATAGACCAATACCAAAATGGTAACAAATGTTTAGACGTCGCACGGAAAGTGGTAAACAGTGGTTCCTTTTGGTCGTATTCTATTTCAGAACATCTAGATGTATTTAAACTTTTAACCGAAAACATTCGAATAGTTATCGGAAACCCTCTGTCAACATAGTGATTGATTATGTTCGTTCATTCCCAATCACGAAAAAATATTTCAACAAGTTTCGACTGTTTCAACTGTTTCGAGTTGACTTTAGATAATGAATGATCGGAAATTAACAATCTAGTATAATATTATGCAGGTAGAATTATTCAATTAAGTATATTTTATAAGCAAGTTCAATTTTGAAGCAATAAAATTTTATAAATTTGTTTCCACATTTCCTCACACACAAAAAATTATATTTAGTTCTTTTACTTACATAACGTCTTATAAATATGACATTTACTTTATTTTTAACTAACACCATGAGTTTACCAGTTTCAGCAATCTTAGCACATAATTTGACATTTACTTTATTTTTAACTAACACCATGAGTTTACCAGTTTCAGCAATCTTAGCACATAATTTTTGTAGTTCATGAAATTCAAATTTAAAATTATTCTCTCCTGATTTCATGTCAACTTTGACAATTTTGTAGTTAAAAAGAACAATCAAGTAGTAAATCATACAGTCTCGATCCGATCCCAACATTTCTCGTGAAGGAACAACTGGATTTGTTTTTGCTATTCTACTCCCACCTAATAAATAAATAATGTCAGCATATGTCAGTCATGCCGAGCTCAAAAATTAGCTTTAGTGAGACCAACGTTAAAAAAATTTGGTCTAGCGCCTGATGTCGTGATGACAATATCAAATCTCATTTTCGTATCAAAAAAAATTGAAAGAATTGTCAGCTCCTCGATGACCCGATTCACTGTTACCTAAAGTTCAGTTAAGTTTTCGTTGAGCCAACCAACTGAAACAGCGATTCTAAAAGTAGTCTCGGATATTCTTAACTCTGCTGAAATAGCAAATGTAACAATGCTCGCGCTATTACATTTTATTACCTTATTGAAACGATTGCTGGTCATATATGGTATTACGGGTGACGAACTATACTGGCTTCAGTCAGAACTCAAGTTGTCAATATTGGTACAATTGGCTCGGATAATTCCACTTTAGAATTAATTTGTGGTGTTCCTCAACTCTCAGTCCTTGGCTCTGCAGCTAAGTTTGCAATAACATTGACTTCTGCAATGTGATGTTAGGATCAATGTCTCTGCAAGAATTGTTCAATCTATTTTAAGTGCAGCTGCCAGGTTGGTTGATGGTGTCTCGAAATTTGATCCAATATTTGAGTGCATCAGAAATGAGCAACACTGGTTTCGTACGGCAGAAAAAATAATATTCAAAAAAGCTCTACTTCCAATTTACCTGAAGGAACAGTACCAACCAGTTTCCGAAACTGACAGGGGTCAACTAAGATCTCCCAATTACGGTAAACTTGTAGTTCCAAAATTAATGTCTTCTCATTTTAGTAAGAGAGCTGTTTAAACTTGGAACACGTTACTAGCTGATCTGAAAAACTAACACCATAAGTCGAAGTGACTTCAAAAAATTTTCTAAAAATCATTTATTCAACCTCCCACAGCAAAGAAAGTGGAAAGCGCCGTCATCTTATGAGAAGCGCTGTACAAATTCCGTAATACGATTTGTACTTTTTTTAAAATGTATAGAAATATACTGATATTACCGAATAATTACATGGCTTTATAAAAGGTTGAAATTTTTTAAATTAATTATTTTTCTAATGATGATAAAAATAAACTATTGTAAATTCTTGTACATGACATTTTTTTGTTAAAATGTTTATGATCTCTTTCAACAAAATGTTACATACAAAATAATCATTTGATTAATAACTTCTTTTTTCTCGTTCCTTATTCTTTCAAGACATCGGCGACCATCGACCTTCACAAAACCCGATCCTTAAAACTATGTAGCAGTTGAAATGTGATGATATTTATAAATTACACAAGAACTTCACAAATGTTATTCGTTGTTGACTGCGATCTTTCTCCCTGCAATCTATCCATTGGTTGTTAGAATTTCCATACCTTCTTTTCGCATGATGTGACCAAAAAACTTTAACTGCTCCCTTCGGATTATTTGTAGTAAATTTTCTTTCTTTTTTTGAATAATATTATATTCTGTTTACAAATAAGTCTTCACAACCAGCAACAGGAAAATACTACCAATGCCGGTCTGCTCAAAATCCTTCAACTAAACTGCAAAGACATTTGAATTAAGCAAGCTAAAATTGCCCTCTATCTGATTACTTACAACATCCACATCAAAGCTTTCCAGGAAACCAAACCAAAAAGCTGTACAAAAAAGACATCAAAGACAGAAAAGACAGAAGAAGAGGTGGAGGTGGCGGTTTGATGATGCTGATCCTCAACAGTATCCCCCCTCCATCAAACAGCTGCCAGAAAAAGACACATCTAAAAGTCAAGGTATCTCCATCAAGGCGAACATCAGAGGTCAACATTATCAATATCTACATCCCTTCACAGTCCTCCTGCCCACCAAATTTCACTGCGTCAATCTCTCGCCTTCTAGCCGTCCCAAACTCATTCAGGAGACCTAAACGCCCACAACGTGCTTTGGCACTCCAGCATTTCAGACTCCCGCGGCAAAGCACTTGCATCCAAGGTGAACAATTCCAACTGCGGCACACCAAACATGGATACCTGCCTCCTTCAAATGGTCAGCCCACTTCTCCCGATGTCCCAATCAAATCAAACACTCAATAACAAGTATGGACTGGTCCATGCTGATTGCACTTTCCTCTGATCATCTTCCTATCCGTATTAATCTACAAACTTACTACACCCCTTCCAAGTCACATAAAATAGGTTTTACCAACATCGATAAAGCCAACTGGACGAAAACAAAAACTAGTCAAAGCCACCTTTCCACCCAACATTTCTGCAGCCGAGAAACAATATTACATCAGACAGGTGCTTAACTTCAAATCCTGGCCTTTCAAAAGAAATAAAACCTGATCGAGCAACGCGACTAACTCAGACTCTCGGATCCTTTTTCCAACAATATCCCCACTATCATCAAAGATCGACAACTTGAAACTTACCTCAGCACCTTCAACAGACACCAATATTAAACGTCCCTGGACCACCATTAGAAGATTAAATGGCAAGCCCAAGCAATCTCCAAACAGCGCCATTAACTTCAACAACAAACCCATCATTTAGCAAACCTATTAAATCGTTCACTTCTTTTAGACACGATACATTAAACAAACTCAAAGAATCAAAGCCAAAAATCAAAGTATTGACGATCACCCCATCCTTACAAAAGACCAAATCTCCTCTGCAATGAAACGGTCAAGACCATCCATTGCAATAAGCCAAACAATCTCAAAATTTTCCATTTCATACACCTTGGCCCAAAGGTTTGGCGTTCTTGACCAGAATTTTCAATGAATCGTTGCGAACATGTAAAATTCCAGACACCTACAAGAAAGCAAAAATAAGCCCACTGCTCTTGACAGCAAGTAATGGCAACCTACCTATCGACAAACACAAACCAAATCAAAAAACATGATAGTGACAAGTTGAACATTGACCCCTTGTGGCAGACCTGGTTGTCGAACTGTCAAAACATAAGTCTAAATAAATGCCCCGGAGAATCAAAACGTGGAAGCTGAAAAGCAATATTCATCGAAAATAATTTCAACAGTTTGTCGCCACACATTTAGACCACCAATCGCAAGCCAGTACAGATTGGAGTACATACAAAAACGTTTCGATAAACGCAGCAACTACGGTATGTGGGAAAACGGGTACAAAACGTTAGCATGAACGGGACACTTGGTGGTGGAATGACAGTGTACAAAATGCAATAGCTGAAAAGAAAGTTGCATACAAGCAATGGCAAAAATCAAAGTCTGTTGATGAACATAAAATTTTCCGTGAGAAGAACAACTATGCAAGACGTCAAGTTGCACTGGCTTGGACAGATCAGTGCAGAGAGTGGCTCACTAAAAGCAATGGTGAACAAATGAAATCTCTGTATCGTTTAGCAAAACAAGCAAAGCGTACGAAAAAAGACATAGTTGGTGCCTCATGTATCAAAAACGACAAAAATGAGATGGTTCTTAAACAAGATGGGATCAAGCTACAGTGGAGAAAATACTTCAAACGACTTTGTCAAAGCATCTGGTACAGCAAGTATCCAAACGTTACTACAACTTTGCCGTGAAATCTGGAAAAATTGCTCAATGCCGACTGCATAGCATGACAGCTTCGCTATACAATCAGGTGGAGTCTACGTCTACAACTCATTCCTGAATATCTTGTTCGACTTGTGATGGAAATGTTTACGAATACTAAGACACAACGGCTGGAAACACAGATGCATTAGACATCGGCGTTTGAGTTCACCAAGGCTCGATTTTCAGTCCACTGTTATTTATAACTGTGATTGAAGAAATCACAAAACCGATACGCACTGGTGACATTTGGAATCTAATATATGCTGATGATATCGTTTTAACAGCCACGTCTGAGAAGAATGCAGCAAAGATGTTTGAAGATTGGAACACCTGACTCGCCGATCATGGATTCAAAGTCAACATCAGCAAAACCAAAGCAATGAGCACTGGTGAACCCATCCAATCCACAGCTACTGGATGATGGCCCTGTTCAGTTTGTAAAGCAGTGTAACCAGTGGTGTCACAAATTTTGTTCAAAAATAATTGGTACTTTATCTAAAATGTCCAATTTTGTTTGTCCTGCTTGCATCAATCCACAACAACAAATTCGAAATAGCAATGTTTTTGAAGCCATTAAGGTAGAGAAAGCCAGATCGTTTCAATATCTATGGGATTTTCTAGATTGAAATGGAACAGCTGAAGCTGCCGTTCTAGCACGCATACGTGCAGCCTGTAATAAATGGCATCTCCTTGCCTCTATATTGATGCGGCGTGACATCCCACTTCCACTACGATCAAGACTATAAATCTGTAATACGTCCAGTGTTGTTATATTGTGCAGAAACATGGCCAATGACAACCAAACTGGAACAACAACTTCAACGAACCGATATGAAAATGCTCCGATGGATTAGTCTGAAGGAATTAGTCTGAAGGACCACATCAAATCTACCAAAATCTTTAGTCGTGCTGGTTTAGATGATATAAAGGACGAATGCCGGCAACACTGCCTGCGGTGGTTTTGGTCATGTCAAACGAAGTGGAAACAGTGCCATGACTTCTCTTGCATATGTTGAAGTACCAGGCACACGTCCCAAAGGCCGTCCAAAAAAACTCATGAAAGCTCTAAATTTAAATGAAATGGATACAACTGATCGTCTAATTTGGCGCAAAAAGTTGATGGCAAAGAAAACAACTTCCTACCTCGGGAAACTGGGTCTCTGGACGCTAAACGAAGATTAATTGATTGCTTTGATTATAGGACTTTGTAATCGCAATGTAGCTGTTACTTGTCACGTCTTTGACTCACTTTCTGGAAGTTACCTCGTGAATAGTCTTAAACGTTAAAGAATATTTCGGTTGTGGTGAGAGGTATGCCAGGGTTCGATAGTTAGGCGCTGCAGAATGAATGCGATGGTGAAGGGTGTAACTTCAGTGTTGCAAGAATAATTTGAGAAGTAGTACGGCGTGCGGTGGAATTAATTTTTTTGTGTAAACGTCGTGTAGAGTTTAATTTAAAATTTCCATCAGTTTAGTAAAGAGTCATTTCAGAGTTTCCTTCAGTAAAAACTTAATTCAAATTTTTTCAGTGAAAATGTCGTTCAAGACTGTATATCTATTTCTGTAAAAAGTTAATATGCAGAAGAATATTCAGTGAAGTTAATTTGAAGTTTAGTTCCCTTCAGTGAAGAAATAGTTGCTTCAGAGTTTCCTTCAGTGAAGAGTTAATTCAAGGTTTCAAGTTATTTCATAATTTTATTCAGTACATTTCAAAGTCTTCAGTTTTCTTCAGCAGAGAGTTTAGAATCCAAAGTTTCCTCCAGTTTAGCCTGCTTTTGTTTACATCGTTATTAGACGTAACCTTTTGTTATGTTATAACATTGAGACAAAATGAAATTATTATATTTTGTGTTAATATTTGATGACGAATTTGTTTTTCTTTTATAAAATACGTTAAATTTACCCCGGTTACGTGTTAATCCTTTTCAAACGAGAAATTTTGGTAGATATTGGAGTCGAACCCCGACACAATGCAACACATTTTGTGAAAGCATTTTCATTAATTGTTGAAAAACATTCTGCAAATGAAGACTATGGATGGAATGGTGAAGAAAATGAACCTAATGATGATTACCGTGATTTATTAATAGAAAATGTGCAAGATAATACTGATGACTCAGATGATGTATTTCTTCTACCTCCTCACAAAAGTTGTCAAAAGGAGTTAGGACAAACTTTATTTTTATATATTCTTTTTTAAAGTCATTTCTTGAGATTATAAAGCGAATAGTAACTGCAATGGACATTTTACAAGTAGTCAGGCCAGAAATGTGAAACATTTATTTAGTTATCCAGCAGTGTGTGCAGATTTTTTAAAAACAAATTTTATCTTGCCTAACTCAGCAGCTGTTGAAAGTTTATTTAGTGTAACCCTAACCCTAACATCTTTACCGATAAACGCAGCAAGTTATCCGATGAACAAATAGATAAAATTATTTTTTAAGAGAGTCTCAGAAAATGGTTGTAAATTTAATATTAATAAAATTTGTCAAATAAAACTGTTTGTCTTTAAACTAATTTACAATTACTGAATTTTTAGGTAATTCATGTTATCGAAAGCTTGTAAAAACTAGTTTCTAAATAGTACTGAAAAGTAGTTAACTACTAGTTAACTACTAGTTATTCGGTGGTAGTTAAAGAGTAGTTACTAACTACTGTTGCTCAAAGTATTTAGAAAGTAGTTGTTAATTACTTTTTTTTAAAAAGTTAACTACAGTAGTTAACTACATATAATTTTATATAACACTGACCAGCTCCTACATCTGGAACACAAACAAAAAATCCTTAGCCTACCATACGACACGTTGCTCACATTCGCGCAACACACAGCAGGAAAACAGCATCAAAGGCTTCCAAAAGAAACAACAACCTAAAAGCCATCGGTGGTACCACTTTTGGCAAGCAAAGAAACGCTGCTCCAAACATATACAGCAATTGGTCGCTGAGTGGCAGAATATCGGTATACCAGGTACGTCGGTGAGAGATCATACAGCCCTCCTCTCCTCCCCGTTACTTCTACAGTCCATCACACCCATGCAACATCATCACAAAGCAGGAATCTCCGCCCCGCATCATGAAAAACACCCTGATATCCAAATGTTCACCAACGGTGCGGTTGGTTCTATCTACAACAAAAGATGAAACCAAACTTAAAGTAGCTGCTTTAACACTCCAAATAACGCTACTGTCAAACACACCGTCAAATCACATCATACACGTGTGTTGCTCAACGGATGGCTACCTCTCATTTCTACAATATATGGGTCAGAAGAAACTCTGTCATAGGCCGGAAGGAGAACCCTAGCCTAACTTAGATCGACCACTACATCATCCTTAAAAACTACAGATCCAAAATAGAAGGCAATACGATTCCCAGTGTTCCTTTTGTTTATCACATCATGATGATGTGCCTCATCTTTTCAGCTGCCTAAAAAACTCAACATCGTCCAATACAATAGATTTGTGGCGAAATCCGGTGGCTCAGACCCCGTCTGGCCAAATAAGGAGTGTCAACAGAGATGCAACAACAACTGATATTATTTTTATGCAATTATGTAAT